CTCAGTACAAGCAACATGTCCTGCTGCTTGAACTAACCTCTTCAATGTGAAAAGCTTATGGAGATAAAGATGAAAGAATGATAATGAATAGTAAATGAAAGGGTTAAGGAAGAATAACACAAGTTGCATTTTATGGCATGTTATTCATCTGGCAGAAAAGATAGCTGCAGAACTATATGCCTGGATCACAAGCTCTGGATTCAACCCAATGAGTTTCTAATGCAAACCACATTTTTTAGGTTAACAATCCCATATTTTCTTGGTGGTTTATTTTGTGATGATGTCAGTATCTATATTGCTATCAACTTCACACAAAATTGTATCCAATATCCTTCTCTAAAGGTTAAGTCCATATATAGATGAAATTATTGGGAATCATCAGTGTGGGTTTTGACAGATGAACTACTGTCTAGAATTTTTGCATTCATCAGATACTGAGCAAAAATGGGAGTACAATGAGACAGTATATCACCTATTCATACACTTCAAGAAAGCCTAGGATTAAGTTAGGAGGGAAGTATTGTACAATATTCTCATAGAGATATAACTTTATTTTTCTGTCACAACACAACAACTAAGGTGTATCAAGGTCAATACCTTGATACTCCTTAGTTGTTGTGTTGCGACAGAAAAATAAAGTTATATATTGTAACACAACAGGATGCATGAAATGAAGATTCTTATACAGTTTGGGGTACCCATGAAACCACTTAACCCTTTCGCGCGGTGATTTAAATTCCGCGGCCGTCTCTCCGGCAGTAATATATTCAGCCGGCCATTTAAATTTTGCTCGAAAATGATTTATTCATCATTGTTCTTAAATTATGAGATAGGAACATGAAACTTTCACTAAAATGATCTTAAAAGGTGGTTTTATAACCTTACCTTATAATATGAGCGCCCTGTATCTCGGCAATGGAAGCAGGTTGTTTAGTATTTGAGCAGTGAATGGTACGCCTTGAAGCATGAAACTTTCACTAAAATGATCTTAAAAGATGGTTTTTATAACCTTACCTTATAATATGAGCGCCCGGTATCTCGGCAAAAAAGCAGGTGTTTCAGAATTTGAGCAGGTTAAGGAAGGCCTTGAAGCATTCGTCTAACCCAACGGTGCCCCACATTCACCGCTCCAATATTGTGTATCTTTTCTTTTAACCACACAGCTTCTGTGCGGTCTTGCCTTCTTCCCCGTGAGGGGTATAGTTCAAGGAAATGTCTTTCCGTGAGCAGTTTAGCTAGTCAGGTCAGCTGCAGTAAATTCAACGTTACGAGTTATCATAACAAGGGGTTGTTGCTATGCCTTTGATATTCCATCCATTTTGGCAGCAGTAGATGTCGTAGGGGTGACCACAGAATTCATGAAGTTATTCTAAGAACTGGCTGGTATGTAGTGCACGAAAGCAGAGCTTAGCTGGCTCAAAAAAATATTTATGGTCATCCCTCGAAACGACCACCAAGGTCAGTACGATAAAATGGCGTCAACTGGAGCGATAATACATGAAGGAATGAGTTATTTTCCCACCCCACACACACCAGTATCGTCATAGGGGGTGACCATAGTGTTCTGCCTTAATTCCTGGCGTTTTTCTAAGAACTGGGTGCTATGTACTGTGCGAAATCAATCGATTTGCAAGAATAAATTTTTGGACATCCCTCTTCTAAGAATTCCAATTGAGTGTGTTAGTGTGGCCAGCTCAGGGCAATAAACACAGCACATATCACGTCTCTGCTGTTTATAACTTCATAGGAAAGAAAACACGCCATTCATAACAGATTGAACCATTAAACCTCTCCCAAGAGCAACAGGAACTTTGCTGCAAGACAGGCATATATAACGATGACTTAGCGCACCTAAACAAATGCCTCATTATATATAGTACTTGTGACAACAGGACAGCGAAAAATCTAACAATCTACAGCAAAACCGTCATTTATTATGGGCGTTATAACATAGGTGTGCAGCTGGACGAAACATAGACGTCGAACCCCCCCAGATGATTTAAATACCTGACGAAACATACACGTCAAACCACGCTGAACAGTTAAGCTGATTAAAATGTGTTTAAATGAAACATAGAGTGAAGTCTGTATAGGTAAACATATGTCTGATAAGTTCCCTAACCAAAATGGTCTAAAACAAGGAAATGCTTTATTGCCACTCCTTTTCAACTTTGCTTTAGAATATGCCATTAGGAAGGTCCAGGAAAACCAGGTGGGACTGAAATTAAATCAGACACATCAGCTGCCGTCCATGCTGATGAGGTGAATCTACTGGGAGATAACACAGATACCACAAAGAAAAACACAGAAATTTTAACTGATGCTAGTAAGGAGGTTGGTCTAGAAGTAAACATAGAGAATATTAAGTATATGTTACTGTCCCATCACTAGAATGCAGGGCAAAATCATGACATAAAAATAACTAACAGATCTTTTGAAAATGTGGAACAGTTCAGATATTTTTGAATGACAGTAACAAATCAAAATATGATTCAGGAAGAAATTAAGAATAGACTGAATTCAGCTAATGCTTGTAGCATTCAGTCCAGAACCTTCTGTGTTCTCATCTGCTGTCTAAAAACATAAAACTTAGAATATACAAAAACATAATTTTGCCTGTGGTTCTGTATGGGTGCGAAACTTGGTCTCTGACATTAAAAGAGGAACACGGACTGAGAGTGCTTGAGAACAGGATGCTGAGGAAAATATTTGGACTGAAGAGTGATGAAGTGACAGGAGGTTGGAGAAAACTGCATGAGGAGGAGCCTCACAAATTTTTCTCTTCTCAAAGTATAATTAGAATGATAAAGTTGAGGAGGATGAGATGGGCAGTGCATGCAGCATGAATGGAGCAAAGAGGAATGCATATAGGCTATTGGTGGGAAAGCCAGAAGATACCAAGACATAGGTGGGTGAATGATATTTAAATGGATCTTAGATAGGATGGGCTGATGTGGACTGGATTGATCCAACTCAGGATATGGACCAGTGGAGGGCTCTTGTGAACACGGTAATGAACCTTTGGGTTCCATAAAAAGTTGGGAAGTTCTTGAGTAGCCACGCAGCCGATGGCTTCTCAAGAAGGGCAAAGCTCCATGAAGATAGTCAGTCAGTCGGTCGGTCAGTCAGTCAGTCAGTCAGTCATCCAGTCAGTTAGTCAGTATCTCTGACTATATAATGTTGCATGGTAAAAAGACTGGCAAATAATGAGCTCGAAAGAATGCAGAAGAAAGTGGTCACAGTCTAACAGAGATACTATCCTGGCACCTGGCTTGAGGGCTGAGGAAAATTATGAAGATCTCTGGACAGGTAGCTGGGATTCCAGCTAGGATTTCAAACAAGAACCTCCTAAATACAAGCCTTACTGGTACACCAGCCTACTCAGAAACACTGCTGTATTGATGGCACAGTCAGGCTTTTTATGAATAAGAGGTGGTGAAACAGAACACCCCTACAAGAATCTATAATGACTGAATAAAATCAAGACAAAACTCAGTCAGTATACCTCTTTTCTACTGGGATTCTGAAATTATATCATTAACAACAACAACAACAGCAGCAGCAGCAGCAACCACCACCACTACCTGATAGCAGAAAATAATCTTAATGTGAATTCTTAATTACGTAGAAGCTCAATTATTATTAGCCCTTTGGTACAATAGGTCAGAAGTGGCCACAGTACAAGGGATTTAGTCCCACCTCACTAGCAATTATTAGCACTTAAAGGCGAATTTATTTCATATCTCACACCCATCAGGTTCAACTCAGGTTGTTTACACTTTAAAATTGTCAAATGGACTTCAAAATTGGGTTGCAATGTGATTTTCTAAACATTAGATTGTGTTCAGCAGATGGCCCACTGTGAAGCTTATTTAACTGAACACATGGTCAAACCAATATTTAATAACTGAAATTCAATTTTTTAAAATTTAAAATGCCATGACTCAACCCAATGTTGGACCAGTGAGCCCTCAAATGTCAGACTAAGTCTAACAGCGGACCCGAAAGGATTACAAGTGCACAAAATTATACATTTGCAACTACATTTCAATTCTGGAGCAAGCCAGAGTATATGATGATGTGCAAAGAATAGTGGTAGATGTGCAACTGGATTACATTTACTGTTAAATGTCTAGGAACACATTGCAGCATAATTTTCATGCCACCAATCTGTGACAGCAGGAAAGATCATAGTTTTTTCATTACAAGCATTGCTATAAACCATTTGCCTTCTAAGTCCTTCTCCTGTCAGTAAACACTATTTCTGTTAGTCCTGGAGCAAATTTTGACATTACAATATGAATCAGAAAGTACCATAGATATTTAACATTGGTAAAGTGTGAAACAACTAAAACTGTTATCTATGAAATACTTATCTCTTATCTATTGTATGTTATCTTGTTTCACATTTCCTACATGGTTCTCTGGCTGATTTCTTCTTACTAAATGGCTAACATAAAGCATGACTGATGTGGAGCATTAGCAAATAAACTGGGTCAAACGTTACATAACAGACTATCTTAAGAAATTATCAACCCTAACAATTTCTTTACAGAAACTGAGAAAAGTCATAAAGGCTAAGCTAATAATTTATTTAACCTTTAAATGTTAAGACTTTTTAAAAGGCCATAGGATGAAATAGAGTTTATTCAAATGCTGTCTTCTATTGGGTGTTTAAATACCCCTTGCTGGTGGGTATTTAAGTGTCTGTTGCTGTTTGGTGTTTTAAATAATTTTAAGCACTTTTGTGTTGAGATCCACTGCTAGGAGACTAGGAGAAATTGAGAATCCTATGCGGTGCAGTGGTGAATTGTAAAGCGCGTAAATCATTGATAGCGATGTACTGCCTGTATTTATGAGTGTTTGTAAAGGAAGGTGTTAATAAATACAATCATCCGAACTAGAACCTGTTATTTTCGTCAAGCGTACCACCCTATACATGACAATATCATTGTGAAGATCATTTTAAAGAAATTTCACTATACACTGTGTGTACTTACCACATCAGCAAGCTTGTAGTATGGTAGGAGTTCCATGTAGTCCCTCTCAGGTGGGCAGTTCACCACTAAACCATGCTGTGGTTCTATCCAACATTCTGTTATAATCTGTAACTCTCCATCACCTTCTTCAAGAGCTTCAACTTCATCTGTTCCATCACCTTCTGAGCCACTGTAACAATGGATAAATATGTCATTTAATACCTTTTTAGTTGGGTTGTTGACCCACCTTTCCAAAACAAAAAGCTCCAACTTCGAAGAAATACTAGGGTTCTAGTGTGATACATTTACCTTTCTCTCTAAACATGAAAATAATGGAATGTGGTAGACATTTCTATCTGCTGTTGCCTATAACCATCCTGAAAAACCACTCTAATATAAATGTGTTTTGTGTACAGATGGGTACCATTAGCCTCTGCATAAAGGACACCTCCAGGTGACCCACATATACATACATACATACATAGTTATTGTTATTGCTGACTACAGAAACTTTATGTAAGAAAGAATTATATAGGTCACATCCTCTTCATAATAACAACCATAAATGTTCATTCTCTGACCCAGATGGTAGATGGAATTTACTGTATGTGTTTACAAAAACTCAAAAATACATTAAACTATCATACTGCATTAAGTTTTATGCATTACACTTATATCAGGCTTTCATGTTTAACATCATGCTGAATGTAATCCTACAATTAATGTGGGTAACATTCAGGTTTTATGTTAAATTAAACTGAAAAACTCAGAATTTTTAGTGTTGTAACTTTGAGAAACTTCCTTGCTAATATATTTCAGTTCTGTAATCCATTAAATGTAAAACATATATGCAGTCTTTCCAGGGATGAGCATAATTATGCTCAGGATGACATTAACTTTTAACGTCCGAATGTCACATATATAGGTCACAAGCAGGAACTGGAGTTGGCCGAATGACCTGTATATATGCTGCAGGACACATGCTCTCTTTGGGAGTGCTGGAAACCAAAACAAACCTACGTGAGGTCATGTCAGTGGTTCATTCCTTAGCTCTGAACAAAGAAATTGTTTATCATGGTACTGGTTTCGATACTATTTACGTTTAGATATGACTGTTTATGACCTGGTCAGTCAAATATAGCCCAGCTTTGTTTCAAGAACTGATGAGGAAATATTTATCGGTGCTTGCATACGAGCGCTTGCAGAGCCTTCAGGGAAGTCTGACGCATTCAAGGATTGGTTTTCAGTGGCGAATTATCAGTCAGGAAGTCAGTGTCAGACTGTCATATATTTCTTTGTATATCATTTTTATTTTGCATCTTGGAAGAGGTATAAACCCACTGAGCCAGTATTACTTTGTGAGTAAAGGCATCTTCGCCACTGCGACTTTCAGTATGTGTCGGACTGGCAGTCTTTTTGACTAGTATTATAATTACTTTGCATCACTATTTTCGAATATTACCAACAGGTGAGAGTGTCGCTTTGTCAATCAACATAATTTATTCGATTTTGCTAGAAACCCCCCTCCCCCAAGATGATTCTTCAGTCGCACAAGCCGAATATCATGTCAGTGGCGTTTCTCGGGGGAAGGCCAAATTTATCAGGGGGCCAAACTGAGTTGACTGGAGTTGAAAAGTCACAACACTGGCCAACCAAAGGGAAACTAAGACGTATTTGTTCTCAGAATAAGAAGCGCAGAAGCACGATCTACTATCGTAAAAAGTGTGATGTTGTGCTGTGTGTGTTCGGCTGCTTCGAGACGTGGGTTGCGCTAAGCATATTGGACTGCTTCGAGAAGTAGTACACGCGCATCGAGTGTGAGATATCATAAACTGTGAAGTGACGCAGTTCAAACTCACGTACAGTCTGAACAAAATATTATTGTACGAGTATATAGTGTGATTATATTTACAATATCACCATGATTCAAGGCTGAAGAAAAAACAATGGGTAATTCCTTTAAAGATTATATTTTGCAATTCATGACAAAATAATCACAGTTAATTTTCATTTGTAAAATTGCTCTTCTATGTACATGCAGAAAAATTTATTGTCTTTCAGGTTGTTTTTAGTTTTTACTTCTATGTTGCAAAGAACAGAAAATATGGATTTTTTTCTGACGGTTTGAAAATTTAATTAATCAGGGTGATTTAAATACTGGCCGCAGGGGGCTCCCAGCAATTTAAAAGTCCGTACGTTAAAGGTTAATTAATGTTTATGAATGCTGATGGTAGACTCCAAAAGTCTGAAATTTTCAGATGTAAAAACCAGGCACAAAAGTTGTAAAAGTGTGTGGGAAGGAAATGGTTAATGTAGTTGTTTGACAAAATTAATATGTGATAAATACCTACAAAAAGGTAAAGGTACCTGCAGACAGGGTATGATGTTATCAAAACACTACAGTGGTAGTAGCACATACAGATTTCTCAAAGAAGATCTATGACTATACCCAAAACAATGTATGTTAATGCAGTACAGTATTTTATTTATAAAAATTTCTGCAACAGAAGAACTAAGACACCAAACACCTTTAAATTTCATTTGTTTCATTCTGGTCCGTCACACTAACAATTATAAATACAGACCACTCCATCCAATGTGACATGTAAGTTTTTACTATGTTAAAACTTATCTCCCTTATATGATTCAGTCCTTACGGGCCATCTTCAGAGGGAATATCATTAGAAACTGGAAACTACCATCACAATAGGTGTTTTGATTTAAAATACATGCACTTATATCCTATAATGCACAGTACGCATAAAGTCGAACGTTTCACAATCACAGCAGCTTCCTGGTGTTGTAAAGTTTTTAAAAGTTTCTAGACATTATTTAAAAAACTTTATTGTCAATACTTAAAATTTTTTAACTACGTAGGTTCGTGTCCATACTCCTATCGTCCTTCTTCTACGGGGCAGATTTTGTGCCACCTGTCTATCTTGATGAGGAGGTTCTTGATGTCGTCCAGGGTTTGTTTGTGGCTTGCTGTGTTGTTTTCACAACACAGACAGGCGGCACAAAATCTGCCCCATACAAGAAGGATGATAGGAGTACGGACATGAACCTACGTGGTTAAAAAATTTTAACTATTGACAATAAAGTTTTTTAAATAACATCTAGAAACTTTTAAAATTTTACAACACAAGGAAGCTGCTGTGATTGTCNTCACAGCAGCTTCCTGGTGTTGTAAAGTTTTTAAAAGTTTCTAGACATTATTTAAAAAACTTTATTGTCAATACTTAAAATTTTTTAACTACGTAGGTTCGTGTCCATACTCCTATCGTCCTTCTTCTACGGGGCAGATTTTGTGCCACCTGTCTATCTTGATGAGGAGGTTCTTGATGTCGTCCAGGGTTTGTTTGTGGCTTGCTGTGTTGTTTTCACAACACAGACAGGCGGCACAAAATCTGCCCCATACAAGAAGGATGATAGGAGTACGGACATGAACCTACGTGGTTAAAAAATTTTAACTATTGACAATAAAGTTTTTTAAATAACATCTAGAAACTTTTAAAATTTTACAACACCAGGAAGCTGCTGTGATTGTCAAACATTCGACTTTATGCATACTTTGCATTATAGGATATAAGTGTATGTATTTTAAATCAAAACACCTATTGTGATGGTAGGTTCCAGTTTGTAATGATGTTCCCTCTGAAGATGGCCCATAAGGACCGAAACATGTAAGGGAGATAAGTTTTAATGTAGTAAAAACTTACATGTCACATTGGACAGAGTGGTTTGTATTTACAAACACCTTTACTCCAGTATATTAAAAATAAAATTTATTGCACCAATATGAGGGTGGGGGCAGTATGTTTGCAGGTGGTAAGCTTCCTAAACACAGGGAGATATTTCATGGAGAGAGGAAAGACAAAAATAACAACAGAAGAGGTAGTCTCAATAGAGACCTAAACTGGGAACCTCTTAGAACATAACACAGGAATTATGAAACACTTTATGTTCAAGTTTAGTTATGTCTTTAAGGTTTCAGATCCACATAACTTTGAAGATTACTCTTTTGTAGGACGTGATGCCATTATCTGGTAAACTGTTAACAATGTTGCAGGGGAACCTGGTGTCTCAAGACAGGAGAGTAAATTCAAGAACAAAAAAAGTGGTACAGATATAGGGAGAGGAAGACCTAGAACTATGGAACTCAGTGAATCAATAGGGATAAGGAGAACAGTACCAAGAGCATTTGGCTCTTTAAAGGTCATTTTTGAAGGGCAGAATGACTGGAAGACATAATGACTCAATGAATCAATGGAAGGTAGAGTGCCAAATATTCTTTACATTCCTCCCACTGGTTGGCTCAGGGCCTGGCCCTGACCCAACTCTCTGTCCTCCTCTATATCTACACCACTTTTTTCACACATGGTTTACTCTTCTACCTTGAAGATGGAGCCAGTAGGTTCTCCCAAAATGCTTTCTGACAATACAGTAAAACTTGGTTATAGCAACATCGGTTTCTGCGACACCTTGTCTATTGCGTCAAATATTCAATGGTACGAACTAATTCCTCATAAAGCAACTGTTTTTATACCTTGCTTAGTACGACATGCACAAATGCATCAACCTCGTATGTACCGTCATTTTCATTCCTGAATTTCTCTGATATCGTGGGAAAGTTCGATGTGTCTGCCCACCCTCACGTTCTCTACTTGCTGACGTGACTGTCCTGGAAGAATACAATGGCGGGCTGCAAGAGGAGCGTGGGTTGTATGCGAAAACAAGGGTGTGGGGTGGGACTGCGTGAATAGTGCAAGAGGACGCGGCAGGTTGTTAACTGCATTCCTTTCCTAGAATCTCGTCTAACAGGACCTCACATTGTCTACTTACCCTATAGTGTTCCTGCCTAAACCCAGAGAAGTGCAGTAGCAAAAACATGGCAATGAAAGGGAAAGTTTTAAGCACTGAAGAGAAAGTTAAAGTGATTCATGAAATATTGTGTGTATTGTAAGTGAAAAGCACTGTAATACGTCTTTGATATTACACATTTGGGCAATTCCACGTTAATATTACGTTAGTTTGTACTTAACTATGTATTTCACTAAAAAATGCAACATTTTAACTCGGTTTTTGGTAGATTTTTACGTGACTAACATAAGGCTACTGTGGAAGTGCCCATTTCGGTTACAACGACATTCGTTTATAACGACACTATTTTTAGGTCCCTTTGATGACGTTATAACCAAGTTCTACTGTATATAGTGTCACATACCAGAAGACAGTTATCTGAATAGTCACTGCTGTTAATATCACAACATATTTCAGTCACATGAGACCATCCTCAGGAGTTGTCTGTTGTCACACTGTTCTGCTTCTCATTTTGATATAAAATGCTTCTAAAATATTTTGTTTTAAGTTATTTTTAGATTATCAAGCAGAACAGCACGACAAGAGAACAGCAGGTTCCTTTAATCCAACATCCTAAACACCTGATAATGGTCAGTTAGACCAAAACATGCAGTGTTGCATTATGAGAAGAGATGAAGATGTTGAAGTATTAATATTAATATATCGACAAAGTTTCACAAACACAGCAAGGAGTGAGAACACAAAGTTAGAATGCACATTGCAACAGGATGCTGCAGTATAACATTAAGGATTTAAAATTGGAGTCATAAATTTCTATAAAATATTACAATCAACATTATGTTAAAATTCATAAATGTAGGTCATCACTGCATTCTGCGATTAACAGCACAAGAAATAAACCAGATATACTTAAATGACTGATTTCCATCTCATTCTAATATCAACAGTATATCAGAAAAATGAACCCTATCAAAATAGAGATTTTTCATGACTTTTAGTATTAAGACTAAAGAGGGTGAAAGAATCATAAAATAAACCAAGCAACATATTTGCATCTACATATACATAGTTAAGTGTTCAAACATGTATTTTTAAAATGATCTTCCAAAGTTACAGTATAAAGGAAACCATTATTTCTTTATATTACATCATTCTCATTTCCTTAATTTTACATTTATTTTAGGCAGTCCCTTAAAAAGTGTAAAAATCGAAGTTTAACTGTAATCACAGTTTAAAGTGAATAAGACATATTATGTAAACACCAACTGGAACGTAATCTGACAATTTATAATATACATTAGTACATGGTTAGTCATTGTACGAACCTTTCCTTGCTATTACTTGAGGTGGTGTGAGGTGGAAACATAACATATTGTATAACACATGGACGCAAACTGTTCTTCCATTTCTCATACTCCAAATGACATTCATCCATACCGTCCTCAAAACGTTTGGCATCACAGTCTGTCTCACCCTGAAATTAATTATAGTTAAGTGGTACAAAGCACTCCAACATAGCTGTTTGTGGTATAAGAAAGTTTAATGCAGGTTTTTGTTACAAGTCTGCTGCATTTTATTCTCTACAGCTAAATTCCCATTTTTTATAAATTGGCTGATAATCAATGAATATTCTTAAAGTTATGTTATTGATGCAATATAATAAGGTGAATAAATAAAACACATTCTTAAAAATTCATTTCTGCCTTCCATTTTAGGAACCAGGATAGCACACTTGGCATAGTAACTGGCTACAAGCCGGACCTAGGGGTCAGAGTTTGATTCCCTATACGGTCAAGAATTTTCTTTTCTCCATGTTGTCCAGATTGGCTCTGGGGCTCACCCAGCCTCATATCCAATGGGTACTGGGGACTCTTTCCTTGGGGGTAAGGCAGCCGGGGTGTGAAGCTGACCACTCACCTCCAACTACTGCTGAGGTCAAAAAACATGGATCTATACATCCACTCCCTCACACGTCTTCATGGCACAGTGATTAATTAGTTAAGCACAGTGGCAACTTTACTTTTACCTTCCATTTTAGTAGTACTGTTGGCCAGTATCGTCCAGCAGTACAATTTTAAGCTTGGATTATGAGATGACATGATCAAATTGAATTTACTCTACCTGAGGAAGATAAATATCAGAACATATAACCTATCACTGTATGGTATGTAACTGGAAATTAAAGGTATCATTAACACAAACTTCTACAAGACTGTAATAGTACTGTATTTGTTTATATAAAATGCATAGGTTTTTAACCCCCTAAAAACTTCTGAAAAGAAGAAAGAACTGAAGAAACAGTTCCACATCATACTAAAGTTTGTGATTTGGGTAGTAAAGTGTGCAGTTTACTTTTGCTTAGTTTGCCGAATACCATAATTATCCCAGTCATTCAAAGTTAATGGGGAGGACACAGACACAGTGAAAGGTGCTTTATACTGTGGCATAATGACTGATGAAGCCAGTCATTGCTTGGTAACAACCTGGAAAAAGTTTCTGCGATGAGTAAACACATGAAAACTGATGTCTGAAGCAGGATAATTGGATTGCATTGATTGAATTACTGAACTGAAGACTGTATGGGATAGTTATACCACCATACCATAAAAATGGAACAAATGCTGGAACATCTACTGGCTGAAGTATGAGCCAGTCAAAAACAGATGACCACCAAAAGAGAAGCTGGAAGCCAGGATGAAGGCTGTCCAGGAGAAGAAAGAGACTGACCACGACAGAAGCCTGGTTACAAAAGATGGAGACCCATCAAGATGAAGGCCAAAGTAAAGGTCAGCCAAGAAAAGATGAAAGCCAAAATTAAAACAGACATCATTAACGGTGGCAGGCACATATGGCTGACAAACTCACCATCACCTGTGAGCCAGCTGTCTAGAAAATGTGGGAGCCTCGATGTCCCACAACCTTATGGGCCTCCATGGCCTGTTACAGGGATAGCTTTACCTTTTCATCTTACTTGGAAGAAATGAAGGCCATAGAGTCAGAGACCAGTCAAGAAATAATACAAGCCACAGCAGAGCCTCATAAATGGGCACCATGCATAAAAGCTAACACGCTTACTGCCCTAGATGACTGGGCTTCTGATGTTCTACAATGAGCCCCTAAAGAACAGATGTTGAAGAATAGGTGACAGACATGGCCAGACTGCAACAATAGCATAAGAGAACAATGCATGAAACAGCAGTTACTTCTGGGAAGCAAGAGAGTTGTCATGAGGCCTTCAGGCAAACCCTTGAGCTGCAAGGTGCAATGTTGGGAGTTGGATCTTCCATCATACTTCCGGGAAACGAGTGACAAAACACTGTGGAAGATCCAGCCCCTCCCAAACCAAAGATGAGGCTACCAACAACTTACATGCCAGCACTGAAGGAGCATCAGCTGCTTCTGGAAGTTCTGTCCCCACACACCAGAAGAAGAAATGGCAATATGCTTATGGGCTACTCTATATGAGCAGCCTTAAGGTGGAAACACTGTGACATGATGACAGAGTAAGACAGCCACTGCTGGGTAATGACTTGATGACGAAGTTTCCAGTATGAGTAAACACACGATATTATTTTTAAAACTTCACTCAGATGAGAAGTCAAGTTATTTTGGAGGCTCAAAGTTGCAGTAAGTGCACATCTGGTGACAATTTCAGTTTGAAAATTGTGCACCTGCATAATCTACCTCACTTATTATACTACATAAATGGAAAACACTACTTCTACACATACCTTCATCTGCACTTCTAAAACCATGTTGATGATTCCAGCTGTAGAATGAGCAAAGCTGAATCCCTCCTGCAAACGCATTCTGAAACAGAGGCAGTGATACCCATTCAAGATGTTTCCCTTGCCTTAAATGCTAAAATAACATGGTTCCAAAACATTTTTCATATACATTCTTAGATCAGGGACATGATGTGCTAGTGGTATTTTAGTACATTCTGTGGCTCTGAAAAGGGCCATATGACAAAAATTTCTCCTTGCCCTTTGTCACAAAAGACAACACATTGTTTTTTAGATCAATCTCCCATGTTCCTTCTTTCTCCTTCCCACAGCAGACCACCAGCAATTTCTCTGCCACTTTTCACACTCCTCAACCCACAGAGGAGAGGTTTGTGCAATATTATGCCTGGAGACCATTTGGATGGGTGATTGCTTGTGAACATCAGGTAATAATGTATTTTTGGTGAATTTCATGGCTCTGACAATGCCTACATTGTTATATGGAATGTCTTTTCTAACTGCAAGAGCAGTTCTGCCTTTTCTTTCCAGGAAGTGGTCAGTATGACAAAAGTGATTATTTGGCATACAGAACCTCTCATGTTTTATTAAAGTCACTGGAGTTGAATGAGGTTTATGGTAAAGTCACCATTATTTGTGGCAGCCTACATGGCTCTCTCAGAGGCTCCTGTTCTGGTAGTGTGGCTCTGCACCAGGAGTCTCTGTGTCCATGTCAGTAGTTCTGAAAGGAGCAAAGAAGCTGCAAGTGAACACTACTTTTGGAGGCAGTTGACAGCTGCAGATGTTGGGATGGGTTGAGTTTCTTCTTGGCTGTTTGCGAAGTATTAATAGAGGAATGCCTCTTGCATCTCTTTAATTCCTGGAAGTTGTCACTCTGAGCTGTTGATTCCACTGAGGTTTGTTCACTACACCAGAGTGTTCTGCCTGTGCACTCACCTTCAGTTCCTTCAGAGCTAAGGTGTACATGCTGTAAAGAGCACTAAAAAGCAGCTTCTCATATAGACCTTAACAAAGATTGCTCTGTTCTCTTCTGAATTATTCACAATAGAGGTCTGCTAAAAGCTTTCCCCCACTTTAACAAGTGTGCATCTGACAAGATTCTAAATGTCACTGAATATTTTATATACTTTGTGCACTACAGAAACTGCTTCTGGGTAATGATTCATGATGGCATGACATTCAGATACCAGTGATGCTAGCTTCTGCGTCCAGAATTTCCAGAATCTTGATACTGGGACATTCACCATCTTTGTGTACATTGAAGTTCAATGCTAGTTTGATGTTTGCAGAGCACTTAGCATACCCCTGGCTGGGCAGCAATTTTCACCGACACCAGCTTTGCCAAACAAGAGTTGACTGTGAACACACTATGCAAAATGAAATCTGTAAAAACCACTCTGTCCAACACGCGTTTCATTCAAATCACTAAATCTGAATGAGACCTGGTGTAGGGGTTACCATGATCCACTCTCCTTTGACTCAATGACTGGCTCCCTCTACGATCCTCCTGTACTGGCTACTTAACGTCTCATTGATCCACATGGCCACAACTCTTGGCTGCTCACTCCTAACCACCACTCACCATCACAGGCTAGCACTCACCTCCCAGTCAGAACTCATCTGTTTCTGAGCCAATTAACAGGCTGCTCACTCCTAACCACCACTCACCATCACATGCTAGCACTCACTTCCCAGTCAGAACTCATTTGTTTCTAAGCCAATTAACAAACAGGTTTGGTCCCTGGTATATAGCATTGGCAATGACCAACAGAGAACACTACCTCCAACAGTTCCTCTATTGTTGCACATGTAACTGCTGTGGCAGTCATATGATTTGTTTGCCACAGAAATGTGTTTATAGAGCCAATGCCTAGCAATGGACATCTTCTCTTGTTCTGAAATTCTGGCTTTCAACCCTCCTTTCACAATATTAACACAGAGTTTATAAAATGATGTGGGTTTGGTAATATCTATTCTCTCTGGTTCAGTCAGAACAAAAAGTTGCGAAAATGTGCATACTAGTCAGCCATCCTTTTATCTGTATGTAAGAAATCAAGAACTATTTCTTTTTTTCTCAAAATCTGAAATTGGGAAGTCTTACTGACATTTAACACATTTAAATTTTGGTTAAGATAACAACAACAGGCACCTGATATGAAGATCAAAATGCATCTCATGTATAATTCACTAAATATTTATCAGAATGAAAATTGTTGCAAACAAAAGTAAGTAAAAGTGAATCATAGATTTTATGCCCAATATATTTTTCCATCAAAACTTACAGTTTTTCAGATAATTAAAAGGGATTTTATACTTTTTACAGACAATACCAAAGTGAACGCACCAAACCTGTTACATTACGCAAACATTTCTTAAGTTCTTTGAAGTGATTATCACGTAGAAATGAAAGTAACATAGAATAATTCAACATTTATGATGTCTCTTGTATTATCAAAACCAAGCAAGTTTAAATAACCTTTTGCACACATATCCTTCAGCCAATGCTTTTCAACCGCAAATCATAATAGCTTTGCACTTCAGTGCTAAGCATTTATGCCTCGGGTTAACTTAAATTCTCTATTTGGTATTCTCTCTAGTGTTAACTGAACCAAGAAGTTAATGATTTCCTAATTTACTTACATAACCTCTTATACTCAAAACTGTTGGTCAGTACTTCCTACCTAGGAACTGCAACAGTTCTCGGCATGTGTGCTAAGCACTTCTGCCTCAGGGTTGAATAAATTCTCTTTTAAGACATACATTTCTCAGTTGCTGAAATGTGGACTTTACTTTCCCAAACAAGACAAAGGCACAGGGTGTGGTTTCATGGTACATATATGGATGGCCAGTTACAAACAGCCTGCAACTAAAATGCATGCAAAAACATGAAGAACTGGAAGTGCAGCTCACCAAAAATTTGGATTATGACAAGTGCAATTAAAAAGTTCGTTTTTAGCACCCATAATCTACTAACTAAAAACTCACTTTGTAATGGTGGCCAACACACGTGCAATAGCTTCTTCTTCCACATCAGCTCCACTTTGAGCTGCCCACACCCAGCGTCGGTGATGTAAGTAACGTGACAATGTTGTAAGGAGACCACCACCTGCAGTCCGTGACTTGGTCTGACTTCCAGGTGCTAATGGTGTTGTGCCATCCGGAAATACAACAGTGCCAAAATCAGATGGCATCCGCTCATACCTCAAAAACAGAAGCCCCAAAATTACTAATAAATGTCTGCTTCATAACCGACACAATGTGATATATTTTTCTTTAGATCAGATTTTATATGTGTATTTTCTAATGTGACATATGTCCACACACACACACACACACAAAGTGAAATTCCAAATTAGTTTCCAAACTGAAGCACAGTATGTTCAGAATAAAGTTGACTGAAATTTGACAACACTGACCACAATGGATTTTGATGGGAGTCAGGTGAGTACTGTGTTAGTATGCCAAATTCTAAGTTAATCAGAGTTGATAAGTTTCTAAGCTCTCCAAGAAAGTCCTTTTAACAAAATCTGAAGGTCCCACTCAACTTATTTAAGATACATTCTTCTACTATACTCTGATACATGGGGGGCATGAGGTAGTGCAGTTGGTTGAGGCACTATGCTATAAGCCAGAAGGTCGCGGGTTCAATTTCTGATGAGGTCACTGAATTCTTCAGTTGACCTAATCTTTCCAGATGCACTATGGCCTTGGGGTTGACTCAGCCTCTAACAGAAATGAGTACTATGAATCCTTCTGGGTGTAAAGGCTGGCTGGCACGTAGGGCTGACAACTTCACTGCCACCTGTGAGCCAACTGTCTAGAAAATGTGCGAGCCTCAACATCTCACAACCCTATGGGCCACCATGGCCTATTACAGGGATAGCTTTACTTTTTTACCTTTACTCTGATCTATGCCTTAGTCTCTCAAGTAGTGTACTCTTCCATCTGTGAATGCATCTCATTCACCCCACACTTCTTACATGACACAGCAATGAATTCCAATTTTGCTCTTAATGACATGCTATTGAACCTGTGGAACATCATAATGTAGCATAGAATATATACCTAATGAGAATCTTCTCTATGGGCTTCTGAAGAAGAACACAACAGTTAACATCTGACCACTTTCTTGGTGGTTGTTGGGTTGGAGAAAGCTGTTGAGGTTGCTGCTTTGGCTGTTGTTGCAACTGTTCTTGCCGCTGTTGTTGATGTGATTTATATGCTGTAGACCGAAATTTAACACATGTGACCTTTCTTACAGAAGGTTCCTTTGCTGATGGCCGCTGTGGAAATGTCAGTTGAGCAATGTGGTCCTTCAGTTGCTGAACAGTCTGCAGGTAGGCAACAGAAGCAGTTACTGATATAATCTATATGATTAACATTACTGCATGCATGGATATAATACTGCAGTGTTGTGTATGTACATGTATGCACTGTTCTGTGGCACATATGAATATATACTGAAATATCTCTCTATGAAATTAATTTATATCAATGAACCCAACAACAAAAGCCCAGAATATGATGGGAAAGCTTTACTTCTTAATCCATCCATTAATTTGTGCATAAATACATCCCAAAAACAGTCACATTTTCCCATGTACTATGCTGTATTTGGATATGTGTATACAATTTAAAATATGCACAAAATTGTGATTGTCTTTACCTAAATAAATGACACATTTTTCTCATCATCTGAAAAAATAGTGGCCATCTTACATTTTCATACTTAGAGAACACCACATGGAAATAAATGTTTCTAGTCTGAGGGTAATGTCCTTATGATGGGTAAAGTAACTGTCTCATAGCATTTTTTCACAGTTAAAGATTATGTAATTGTGTTTTTTATTTTTTTTATTGCTAGTGGGGTGCAACTGTGGCCACTTCTGGCCTATTGTACCAACCCCAGATGATAGGTGAGGGTGACTGTTGAGCAACTGGAATGGAGGTTGGCAGGGGAAACCGAAGTACTCGGAGAAAACCTGCACCAGTGCCCCTTTGACCACCACAAATCCCACTTGACCAGAACCGGGATCGAACCTGGGCCACCGCAGTGGGAAGCCAGCGACTAACCGCTTGAGCTATGGCACGGCCATGTAACTGGGTTTACCATTAACTCTAATCATGACATCAGTCAGCTGAAGTCTGACAGCCAAAGCTTTAACGCAAGTACATATTACACAGGATTTACTTGTGTAAGAGAAAAAAATCAGAATGTTGTAGTATAAATCATAGGTGAATGTGTTTAAAAGACATTCTATATCTCACATATCAAAAGGTGTGTGTTGCAACTACAACATGAACTTCTTAAAATTAATGGTCATGAAGCAGACAGAAGAAACAAGTGTGCTGTGGCATAAATATTTGGCGTTATCAAAGATAATAACAGATGCTACAAGAAGCTGAAATTAAACTGTGCCAATTCCATGGGAGAAACATTTCAAGAATGCGAACAAGAATAATACAAAAATGCAGATGAACAAGTGCTTGAGAAACATAAATATGGGTTATAATAGCTCAGAAACTTCCCATGGACTATGTCAGGAAGCTAAATGAATACCAGTGGCATGCAATCTTTGATAGACCTACCAACTCCACAGTTCTAAATAAAGGTTCAAAATCTCTGGCGGCAAAAACTACTGGCTATGAAACCTTTAGAAAAATAATGGTCTCTGTAATAACTGATAGGAGGACCCTGAAATCCTTTATTATTCTAAAAGGAAAAATCTACCCAGTGGCATTATATTCAAATGCAGTGAGAAAGATTAGATAACCAAAGAACTAATGATTCAGTGTGGGAAGTGTGGGACATATGGCCAAATGCTCTCCTACAGAAGGGAGGAATCCTCGATTGGGAGACATTTTTTTTGGGATAGGTAACACCCAAGGTACAATCCAAAATTTCTCAACTTAACCTTTATCAGCTGGGCCATTTAAATTCCGGTAATGGCCGCGGGCTGGAGTTAATTTAAATGCCCGCCATTGTAGAGTAATAAAAATTGTAATCATGTTACTCAAAATGCTGTGATTTCTACAATTTTTGTGATAAACGAACGAAATAAACGCTACTTTTATCTAGAAAGAATACAGAATCAGATATTGTAATTTACAGATTTTACAATCTGTAAAAATTTTTACATTGATTCCAAAAAAAATTTTCCCCAATTTTGAGCGTCTTTCCACAAAAATGCATAAAGCTCCTGCACAAAACGTTTCTGCAGTATAAATGCATGCTGCTGACACACACTCTCTTACTATGTCTTATCTGGCAAGAGGAGAGGAAATTTATGTTTGTATTGCACATTCTCCAGTCACGTTGGACCTTTCTGTAAGNTATCTAGAAAGAATACAGAATCAGATATTGTAATTTACAGATTTTACAATCTGTAAAAATTTTTACATTGATTCCAAAAAAAATTTTCCCCAATTTTGAGCGTCTTTCCACAAAAATGCATAAAGCTCCTGCACAAAACGTTTCTGCAGTATAAATGCATGCTGCTGACACACACTCTCTTACTATGTCTTATCTGGCAAGAGGAGAGGAAATTTATGTTTGTATTGCACATTCTCCAGTCACGTTGGACCTTTCTGTAAGCACGAGTGTGGGCGAAGTCTTATCGTACTTTGTCCTTATGAAACTCTGCTTGTTTATATCTCGGACTAAACACACAGAGGTACTGTTCTTGGAATATCCCTTCAATACCCCTTGCATCCTGGTCCCATCAGAATCGACTGTACCGCACTCTAAATGGTGTGATTTACGAGCAGCCTCTCAATTTCGGCTTCTTCCATGCGAAATGGGGCCATGGTACATAGTTGAAATTGCGATGTTTTATAAGCGTTAAGAATAGAGGAGACCACTCACCATCACTGGCCTACTTCCTGCTAATACGAGACTGATGCTGCATGTGTGCGCTTCGCGTGGAAAACAGAGTTACATACAGACAAAGTGCATGAATTGCGACGTCAGACTCTGCATTCAGTTACATGCAACATTCAGTTAGATGGTGCAGGAGCGAAGACAGTCTACTTCTAAAACTGGTGTCCAAAAATAATGTAAGTAGAACAAGAATTTCTATCTTAAAATTAGATTTTAAAACACTGTGCGCATGCGTGGATTGCGAGTCACCATACAGTGTCGTTCGGCCACTCGGCTTTACTTTAAAGGTCCCCATACGGTGTCTTTCGGCTCATAAAAGTTAATACAGACTTGGTAAATATATGAGTACCTGGAGGTGTAATCTCACCTCCAGAATTTTTGTGTGGAAGTAAAACTATTCAGGGATCAATGGCAACAAGTCTGTGTAGAATGGTTACTATACAGAAACTTGCCACTAAATTTAACAGGACACAACTTATGAGGGGCATTCAAGTTCTAAGGTCTCTGATTTTTTTTTCTCAGGACTGGGAGCAGATAGACACATGCGGTTTAGTTTAAAATACGTGGGCACTCTTTGTGAATGCATAACAGAGATGGCAGCACTGTACGGCACACAGATTTCTAGTGGTGGCGGCGAGAGTGAGGAGTGTTCTTGATACCTAAAATGGTGACGTTTTCGTTACAAGAACAGCGAGTAATCGTTTGTTTTCTCCATTTGCGTGGTGCAACACCCATTGAAATTCATTGCCAGTTGAGTGAGACATGTGGTGATGGTGTCATGAATGTGAAAAATGTGCGTTCGTGGGTGCGACAGTTCAAAGAAGGCCAAATGTCATGTGACAATGAACCAAAAACAATCTTGGCCCCGCACCAGCCAGTCTGACAACATGGTCAAGCGAGTTGAGAAAGTTGTTTTGGAGGATCGCCGATTGAGGGTGGAAAACATCGCCTCCAAAGTTGGCATTTCCATGGGATCTGTGCACATAATCCTGCATGAAGACCTGCGAATGTGGAAAGTGTCCTCCAGGTGTGTGCCACGAATGCTGGCAGATGACCACAAGGCTGCGAGCATGGCAATTTGCCAGGCGATGTTGACATGTGATGAAGGCATGAATGGGACTTTCTTTTCATCAATTGTGGCAATGGATGAGACATGGATGCCGTTTTTCAATCCTGACATGAAGCGCCAGTCAGCTCAATGGAAGCACACAGACTCACCGCCACCAAAAAATTTCGGGTAAGCGCCAGAGCTGAAAAAATAATGGTGGCCAGATGACGCACCAGAGCACTGGGTGTATGTGATGCAGCAATTTCTTTGTGAAAACAACCTCGAAGTGGTTTCTCATGCTCCCTACTCACCTGGCCTGGCTCCTAGCGATTTTTTGGCTTTTCCCAACAATGAAAGACACTCTCCGTGGTCGCACATTCACCAGTTGTGCCACTATTGCATCAGTGATTTTCCAGTGGTCAAAACAGACTCCTACAGAAGCGTTCACAGCGGCCATGGAATAATGGTGTCAACGTTGTGAAAAATGTGTATGGCTGCAGGGAGATTACATTGAAAAGTGACAGAAGTTTCAAATTTTTTGTATGATTATTGTGTGAGAAAAAATCTGAGACCTTAGAACTTGAACGCACAACGTACATATAGAGTCTGTCTGCATTAAGTCTGTTGGACATAACCTCAAAGTTTCATGCTATTACCATCTGTAACTGTTGATCTACAGACATTTAAAATACTGTGACATAATGCCTGAAAGCTGGAATAGTGCAGACAGAGTAGATGTTCACTGCTAGGCAACATCTCGGTAAACAGGTTCCCGCGCCAAAGAATAGGCAAGCAACAACTGAGGTACTGTTGGGCTATAACAATGGAAATGGTGCTTTCCGTTGGGGCCGACCAGAGGCTGTATAATGAGGATCCCAGGCCAGCTGAGAGATTAACTAAGGGAGTCTCTTAAGACAGCAGTCAAAGATGATTGTGAAGAGATAGCAATGAGTCAGTTGTTAGCATGTGATTTAAAGACTTTAGTGAGACTGTTATAGATCCATTGCCAGGATATGACTAGTAAAGACTGAGAAGACCTGGCATGTCCTAGTTATCTGTAGTGTGGAAATCAGCAATAGTGTTATAATTACTTCTTGTTATGAGTTGAGTGTATAAGTGCAATAGATCCAATTATCCAATCCAAAACCTTATCTTCAGCACTAGTTCTCAACCTTAGTGAGATCATGGCCCAATAAATTCTATGCTTATAAGATGAGGGCCCTGTATAACTGATGCCAGGACCCGATACCAGGCAGCAGTCCAGCGGTTGAGAAACACTGGTCTATAGTCAGCCCTAAATCATGATAATATAATGAAGACCTATTTTCACACTAAAGTTCACATGCTACAATGGTTCAAAAATTCTAAGTGGATGCCATGTTGTTATTTTACATTCTACGAAAAGATACCTTAAAAAAACCTGAACATTTTGCAAAAGATCCATGACAATACACCATTCAGGACCCTAAAGTACGTGGTAGTAGTGTCACCCCTGCTCAAATTAGCATGTCTGCCACGTTGTTATTATTGACTGTAGGAAATTATGGTCTCCTCTGTCATAATGCTATTGTAGCAGTGACCATGCCCAACACTGCAGTCACTGCATGCAGCAAATCACACAGTTTTACTGCATTAGCAGAACAATATCTTTAATTTTCTTAAAGAGCCACATGAAATGCTTCCCTAATGAAAAGTGCTGTAAAAAATTGGATCATAATATCTTCAGGTGTGCCCTCTGAGTGAACTGTCTTAGAAGTTAGTGCCACGTTTCAAAAGCCCTTTGTCTTTCTAAAGTATACTTCAAGGAACAGACCTCACTGAATTAATGCTACAAGTTCATCATGATGGTGATGATGTCATAATACAGTATACTTCAAACTGATGAATCACCTTGTAACGCAGATATCCTGGAGTACCACTTAGGAAAGCAACATTTATCACAACACAGGGAGGTTTTGAAGTAACCCGAATGATATAAAAGGAAGTTGGAGGTTTCTCAGCATCCCTGTAACAAAATTATACATATATTTCTGTAGAGATTTACAGACAAGGCAGAAAGATTAGTTATTTATACATTTATTGAAGAATTAAAATTCCAAGTCTCACTATGAAATTCTATCTTAAACTTATACAGACAGAACAGTGCAAGGGTTAATCCATGGTGCTTTGCCAGTACCAGTTTTCAATTATTCCTCATCATTCAACATGGAGGGAAGGTAGCCTTTCTATATCATTACCTAGCTTATGGTAATTGTATGCTATCAAAGTAATTTCCTTGTGTTTTCATCCTTTGAGTTTCAAGATAATGGCAGTTCGAAAGAGCCACAGGGCAGATTTAAAAGCTACTCCATGTAGAGCAACAGGACATTTTAATGCCTATACAAGAAGTTAACGGAAGGCAGTGAAGTTGTTATAAAATTCAAATACACACAGAACATGTAGACAATTCTGAAAACTGCAATATCCAAAAATCATTCCATTACTCTACTATACTCACTACATATGTGGAACTGCAACCAAATGCAGCCTCACAAATATCAATCTTGCCAAACTAGACAGCATCTCATGCTAGAAGACTGCCATAAGAACTTCATATCTTAATAAAAGGAATTCAAGGAAATCAACTTCAGTGATCAATCTCCTAAATTGGATTTGAGGTTCTCATGATGGCCATGAAGAACAAGGCCTTATAAGTTGCAACACCCTGTAGTCTGAAGAGAGGATGACTTTCAAAGGAATATATTGCCCACATCTTCAGAATTTGGATGTCTCTGAACTACACGTATTATAATCCAGAAGACCATACTCAACCTCCTAAATTATCTCACATGTGAACTGAGGGTTAAAATCTTTACATAAAAACATTTGCTATGAGTATCTGAGGTTCTTACAGCAGTGATTATGAACAGCTATGTCTTCTGGGATATAATGTGACAGACCTCTTCAATTGCTGTGAGATTTAGGAATATGAAAAGGTTATTTTTTATTGATTCCATTGAAATTGTGTTTGCAGGAGTAGCATATTTCCTGACATTAACCTAGAACTGCTTAAAATCACAGAAGCTCACAGAATAGCTCCATAAGATAAAACTAGGCACAAGTGTCTTTACTGTAAGCATTAATACTTAAACATGAACTACCGTGACTACATACCCATAGATCAGTTTCACGTAAGAGTGATTCTCTATGAGTACAAATGTACTCCAGTCTTTCAGCAAGGAATAGAGAGCAGCAGCAGCTTGGCGACATTGTATGACTTGAAAACGGCCACTAGAATTAGGTACATGTAAGTGTCGGGGTAGAGGCCGGTCATGCTGTAAGACAAGTCCTATTCGGTGAGTATGCAACCATTTTTTCCACACAGAAGGTTCCAGAAGACATATAGGCTTCCAAAATTGGGCAAACTGCAGGCATGTTGAGTCACTAAAACAATAAAATATTAATAATTACTGAAGTTATTAACATCATGCAGTTTCACCAAAGAAAGGATAATATGAGGGCTATTCAGAAAGTAACCTCCATTTATTTTAGACAACTAACACAGGTGTGGGGGAGATCTTGATCACTGCCTTGTAAACCATCACATAACTGGTCATATAGTGTTTGTTCTTGTCTCTACACAGTGAGTTATGATGTGTCCTGTGGTTAACAATCCCACCAGCTGTGAAAAGCCATTGTGAATTATTTGCAGCAATTTACAACTAAAAAGTAATTAATGAAGAAACTGCGAGACAATAGTGTGGAATGTTCAAAGATGAGTGGGCAAACAAATGTTCATGATGGAGAGCAAAGTGGTCAACCAGTCATCTGTGGGGAGTGATGATCTTCTTCAAAGTGTTGAGCAAAATTATGTGAAAGACAGCACAATTTCAGAACATTACTGTGAATTTACACAAATTTCACACACTTTTCTCTACAAGATTATCATAGCTTGAGTTACCACAAGTTTTGCACAAGATGAGTTCTAAAAATGTTCATGGGTGTGCATAAAATGCAGACATTTGGTTTTGACATTTTTAGAGCGATATCACAAAGATGCAATGAATTTCTCCATCATATCATATGAGTAACAGGTGATGAAACCTGGGTTTCATTTGCGAATATTGAAACCAAAGCACAGTCAAAGCAGTGGATGCACATACATTCAGCAAACAAGTAAAAAAAGTTTAAACAAACGTTGTTTGCCAAAAGACTGATGGCAGCTATTTTCTGGGACAGGACAGGAAAGGAGTGCTTATGGTGGAATTCATGCAACAAGGGGACACATCATCTGAAGTGTATCATGAAATACTGAAAGAACTGCATAGGGCCATTCAGAACAAAAAGTATGTAATGGTGATATGCAGTGTAGTGCACCTCCATGACAATGTGTATCTGCATACAAATGTTCACACTCAAGCACTGCTGGATCATTTCAACTGGCAGTTGTTTGACCACCCTTCTTACAGACCTGATCTTGCTCTGAGTGATGACAACCTATTCGCCTACCCGAGGAACTGGTTGCAATCACAATGCTTCAACAATAATGAGGAGTTGATGGAAGTTGTCAAAACATCACTGAGCTCAAAGGTGGCCCGCATCGCATATAAAAACTTATTCCCTGATATAACAAATTCCTCAATTCCAGCAGTGACTATGTTGAGATGTAGCTTACGTATGTACATATCTTTTGTATATAATAAAATGCTTTTTTTCTCATTGCTTGTTTTGTTAGCAGCTCCCAGCAGGTTACTTTCCTAATAGCCCTCACATGTTAGCATGTACAAAGTGGAACACATATCATGAACTATGCCGAATTTTATCATTTCTTTTTTCCAGGAAAGAATAATGGCAAGAAAAATATTATAAGATGAACGAGTCACTGCAATGAATGGTGTGCCATGTGCTGCACACCTATCAGCTGTCAAAGAATTTAACAGGTGGAATACATGCCAGCCTCCAATTGATTAATGAACTACTGGAAAATCAGTCAGTCACTTTAAAGAAACTGGAAGTAATGGTGATCATCCTTGAAGTGGAAGACCAAAAAACATGGAGAAGTTACTGTACAATAACAGTGAAAGGTTATATGAACTTCTATTTGGAGTATTCTCAAAGTGCACAATTTTTATTTGTGCAAAGTTCATCTTCTTTAGGATCTCCATAGTGATGGTAGGGATCACCAAAGAGAGTTTCATGAGTGGTTCCTTCAAGACAAAAATCAATTACTCTTGTCCAGTAATGAAGACATATTTTATTTAAATCATCACATCAACTGATATTACTGTCACTTGGAATATGACAATAACCTTTGAAGCTGGTTCTTAAATCAATACTAATTTAGCCTCTCAAAGTGGCATTTAAATACCTGTGTGGCATCATGTTCACATGATGTTCGAAACTGTCCAACAGAATTAAATAAATGTTTGTGGAAAAATTAATAACAGTATGAGCTTCATCATGCTACCACTGATTTCTTTATTAGCTGAACCATGTCTGGAATGAAAGGAAGCAGCAATGTTTGTTGAGCGATTGACAACTGATAAAAAAAAGTCCTGCCTCACATAGCAATTCAAAGCTGAAGAAATAGATGACAGGAAGCATCATGGTCCACAGAACACATTGAAATTCATCCACTTTCAATACACAAGGGTCATACTGAAAGTCATGAGCAACAATTTTTTGTAAAGTAACATGCTTTATTATTGACANGCCAGATCAGGGCTATAGGAGGGGGGGGGAAGAACTTCCCACCCCATCTTTGCAATTGCTTCCGATGTGACCTTTGTGGTCTTCGGTCAATAACTGCGGAACCCAACGAGTACAAACTTTCCTATAGCCCAAGCTTTCAATCATCTCCTGTACTGCACTGTGCCCTATTCCAAGTTTTTGGGCTACTGTGTCCTCAGTCACATGCCTGTCATATTGAATGATCTCAACCATTCTTTCCTTGTTGCGTTCAGTTGAGGCTGTTCGAGGACGACCGCTCCAAGGCTCATCTTCGATGCTGGTGTTCCCATCTCTGAACACTGCTCATACCCATGCACATGCTTCCATAAGCACGCTGCATTCAGAAAGCAATGTGTCAGTGTCTTCGGATGGCTGGAACAGAATTTTACAGAAGGGGAATTTTCAAACTCCCAGAATGCTGGGAGAAATGTGTACAAAGAACTGGTGATTATGTGGAAAAATAAAGAAAGGTCTGTAGATTGAGGTGGTGTATTTGGTTTGTCAATAATAAAGTATGTTACTTTACAAAAAATTGTTGCTCATGACTTTCAGTATGACCTACGTATCTCAACATACAGCTCCTCTAAATATATGATTAAGATGCTGCAGACCATATATGTAAGTGCATATAACTGCTCTGTGGCAGAGTAGAGAGCAACATATACAGCTATGTGATCCAGCTTGAGGGATTAACCGTCACCAGATTGAAGCCACTTGTGCAAGGTGATCATCAGATTATAGCATAATCCAGATTCTGCAGAGATGAAATCATTAGCTCCTGTTTCTCTGAGCTTATGCTAATCTGTCAGTTCCTTAGGTAACTTAACAATACACCACAACAGGATACTCTGATACAGAATTATATGGAGATTGAATTTCATTAATTTTTATTTCTCCACTGAAATATGAAATTAAAACATAAATGATATATAAATCATTAATATTTAAAGCAAACAATTTCACATTACATCAACTCATAAGCTGCAACTTAGTGTATCACTCTCACAAGCCAAAGATGGTTCACGAGTTGCAGTTTGAAAAATTGTGTCCTGAACTATATTATTAATCAATCAACATATTCAAGTAAATATACAGGAGCCATACATGTGAACTGGAATGTAAGGAGTAAAACTGAAAAATTCATAACACCTATACCGTCTACAATTCCTTCTTAAGGATAAAAGAGGTTCTTACCTTGCAGAGAGTACTGGAATTGAAGAGTTTGCAGGCAGGTAGAATACTGGCATCCCACTACGTATGCTCTCAGGAATGGTGTAAGTTGCAGGACTGCTAGGGAAAGAACTGAGCTGCACTAGCAACTGATCTGATCTACTCAGATTTTTCAGAGTGGTCCAAAAGCGGGACACAACAGCCTGACGGTATTGAGACTTGAATGGTTTTTTCAGCAGGCATGTAATGTCATGAAGAAATTCATATGGGGCTAGAAAAATAAAGAAAGGCACATTGTAATTTATATAAAGATCTGCCTACAAACTCAATGACTGAGAAACAAGACTAGCATTATAATGGTTTCTCTCCTCGCTGTCAATGTGGCCATGCATTAAGAGCCACTTTATAACAGAACTTCTGGTGATGAGCCTCACTTTGGGCACACGCTTTGTAACTGAACTACTTTCAGAGTCTTATCTGATATTATATTTCAGCATTCTGTTGCACTGAAGCATTGCTCGCGCAGTTTTTCTTCTGTCTATAATGCAACACACTTTTTATTTTATATGACACCAAACTTACATTCAACTCACTAATATGTCAGTTAAAATGTTCTTAAATGTCTTATTTGATGTTGATGATGCACCTATCACTCACACTTATGCACTCTATTAACACTCTTGAGGGTTGATCAATCTCTGTCTTCCTAGATCCTTCAGCACCAGATGGCAGGACTAGAGGACAGGAGTTATTCGTATGTGCCAGTAAACAAGATATGCTTACAAAAGTCAGGGCGTCTGGAGTGAAAGGGAACAGGTCAAGGCTGATAATCAGTGAGATAGAGATGACATTCCTTCTCAGAGCTTAATGAGCCTTGTTTCAACAAGACAGTAGGACACAATCATTACAATTACAACACAAATCACTATATAATAGTTACAAATATGAGTAACTGTCAAGTTTTATTACATTCACTGATGGAACCACAAATATATCTCACACTGCAGCACAAGTTTCACTTTAATGTTATAGGTCAACAATGATTACACTTGTAAGTTTTGAGGTTTTCGCGGCGATGACAATGAAGAAAGTCGTCTTCTGGGTTTAGGCACCGTGTATTCTTCGTTTTGGCCGATGTTCCTCCGAAACGTCGGCCAAAACGAAGAATACACAGTGCCTAAACCCAGAAGACGACTTTCTTCAATGATTACACTTGTTGCTACTTTATTATACTGTCAGTCCTTGTAGAATGACCCGTTCAGTTGAGTCTTAACAGTTACTTTCTACAAATGCGTACCCCAGACTGACACAGTTTTTGCATCTTTACCGCACTAGGATTTGATAAAGACACTTTCTGGAGGGATGCTGCTTGAAGTCACCAGTTCTGCAAGCCATCAATAATGACAAAGTTGCATCCGTTTTCTAACACTTTTAATATTATGATCTGGAACTTGTTAGCACACAAATTTGGAATTCAAGACTTAAACTGTGACTTTAATATGGCTTTCAACTTCAAATTTCTTTTACTTACTTTTATCTACTAAGCCCAAAAATACAATCTGTCTGTCAAACCCAGTACGAGGGGGTACCCAAAAGAAACCAAACTTATTTTTTTTAAACTTATTTATTCAAATTTTAAGCACAAACCTTCAATCCCCTTCAAAGTACTCTCCACTTACACTAATACACTTGTCTAGTCTTTTATTCCATTTTTCAAAACATTGTCTAAATTCATCTTTTGAGATGCTTGACAGCGCCTCCATCGTTTTTTCCTTTCATGTCTCTTTTCATTCGAGGAAAAAAAAAAGTCGCACGGGGCAAGGTCGGGTGAGTATGGAGGGTGAGGAACAGGGGTCATACCATTTTTGGTCAAGAACTGTCGTACAGACAGGGCTGTGTGAGCAGGGGCATTGTCATGATGGAAAAAGCAGTCACCCGACTGCCACAAATCAGGCCGCTGAGCTCCAAGTCACTCCCGACAGCTCCACAATTTCTTCAATGGTCCGTCGTCAATCTTCCTTGATGATTTCACGAATTTTTTCAACATTTTCATGTGTTCGGGCCATGGAAGGACGACCAGAACGAGGTTTGTCATCAATTGACATTTCACCATTTTTCAAATGGGAAAACCACTCAAACACTTGAGTTTTCCCCATAGCATCGTCCTTGTACGCCGTTTTTAACATTTCAAGAGTTTCTGTTCCACTTTTCCCGAGCAAAAAGCAGAATTTCACCGCCGCACGCTGTTCACAAAAATCAGCCATTGCAAAAACGACGATCACACAAAACAGTTGTCACTATAAACTCTGCCGAAACTAGTCCTTACCTTCTGAAGCAACGGTAGTCGGCTTATCGACTCAGGAATGTTAGCTCTATGCGCTCATAGCGGCAAAACGCGGTACTACAAAAGCTCTGCCCACAAAAAAATTAGCTCGGTTTCTTTTGGGTACCCCATCGTATGTATGGTGAAATTTCCAAGTGAGATACCTATAAAGTTTCAGTAGTCCATTTTTTCAAAACAGCTGGCATAATATCATTTACTTCGTGTAATATACGTGGGTTACTTCAAAAGTCATGGCAACATAATTAGTAAACCAGTAATGTTCTTCTAAGTTTCATTACTCAGTACAATTAATGTGAGACTGTATAATGTTTGGATTTTCAAGTTACTTTAACAGAAGACCATTCACAATATTTTAACCATAATCATCATCATCATCATCAGTAATCTGTCAAGACGACAGGTCCACAGTCTCTTTCAAAACAATTCCTCCACTTAATGCGATCTAGAGCTTTCTCCTTCAAATGACAGTATCCTCTTCTGTCCCCAAGGTCATCCAGCATCTTCTTACGTCTTCTTCCTCGTCTTCTTGTCACTTCTATCCGCCCATCTATCTTTCCTTCGATAGCTTCTTTTAGAAGGCAGTTTCTGCGTAAAACATGACCAATCCAATTAGCCTTCCGTTTTCTTATTTCATGTAGGATATTCCTCTGCTCACTGACTCTAATTAACACTTCTTCATTTCTCACATAATCGGTCCAACTGATCTTCTCCATTCTTCTCCAACACCACATTTCGAAACTTTCCAGATGTTTCTGATCTACTGACCTAAGTGTCCATGTTTCAGCCCCATACAGAGCTATGCTCCAAATGTAGCATTTCACTAGTTTCTTCCTCAAATTTAAGTCCAATTTGCTGGTAAAAAGATTCTTCTTCTTGCTAAATGCAGCTTTTGCCATGGCAATCCTGGATTTAATTTCACAAGTACACCTTCCATCATCTGTTAACAAGCTACCCAAATATTTAAAACATTTCACATTCTCCACTTGTTTTTGGTCTATCTTTATTGTGACTGGGGTTGGTTGTCTCGAAATTTTCATTACTTTTGTTTTCTCCACATTCATTTCCATGCCATAGCACCTTCCAATTTCAATTAGTCTATCAATCATGCCCTGTAGCACAGTTTCTTCCTTAGCCATTAACACAAGGTCATCTGCATATTTCACAGTTTGAATAATTTGCCCTCCTACTTTGAAGTCACCGAGCCCATCCAGAGCTTCCTTGGTAAGGCATTCGCTGTACAAGTTGAACAGAATTGGTGATAAACAGCATCCTTGTCGAACTCCTCTTCCAATCTGCACACTTCCTGTCTCCCCCCTGTCCAGTCGTACTCTAACTTTCTGATCCATGTACAATTTGCTAATCAATCTTCTTTCATGCCAATCGATACCTGTTTCTTTCAGGATCTGCATTAATTTGGTCCAGTTTACCCGGTCAAATGCCTTCTGCCAGTCTATGAAGCAAACACACAGTTCTTCATCTATCTCCAAAGTTCGTTCCGCTATAATTCTCATCATCCCAATTGCATCCCTGGTTCCTTTTCCTCTTCTAAATCCAAACTGATCTTCTCCAAGTACATCCTCTATTTTCCTTTCAATTCTTCTTTTAAGTATCTTTGCTATTATCTTTGCTGTATGTGCAATAAGACTTATTGTGCGATGGTCGCTGCATTTTGTAGCTTTTGTCTTTTTCTTTAAGGCAATCATTGTAACTTCTGTAAAGTCCTTGGGCCACTCTCCACTTTCATATATGGTGTTCATTAGTTTTGTCAGTGTTTTCAAACCACCTTCTCCCAGTAACTTGAGCACATCTCCAGGTACATCATCATCTCCTGTAGCCTTTCCCTTCCTCATTTCCTTGATAGCTTTTTCCACCTCACTTTGTAAAATATATGGTCCTTTCTCGTCTGTATCTACTTCTTCTTCCGGTTCAACTTCTAAGGTTTCTGGCCGATTAGGCCGATCATATAGTTCTGAAATATAATTTTCCCAAATTTTCAGCACTTGCCTCTGATCTACTATTCTATTCCCCTGGGAGTCTTCGATGCCAACATTTTGAATCCCATGATTCTCTTTCCATCCCAGTTCTTTTGTCTTCATGTACATCAAATCATAACCATAATATTATGACAAAAATAAAGGAACATTACTTGAAAGTCTGAGGAATTTCTGCTGGAAATATGGTAAAACGTTTTTTCAGAATGCATTTCAGTTTGATCCTAAGGAACTACATGGTGACCCCCCTAAATTTCACTGTGTTAACTGAAATTAGCTCATATAAAAGAGTCTTATTCCATAATTTATGACACATGGCAACAAATTTTACTAAGAAAAAGGACAAAAATACTGTACTTCAATTTTCCACATGAATACCAAATTAACTTCATTCTCAAAGCATTCTGACATTCAACCAAGTTCAAAACTATTAAGAAGAGATGGCCACATTAACTTCTCACATTTTAAGCTACATAAATGCAAAACAGAAACAAGGCCCAATGATGAAAACAATGAAACAATACATGTTGGATTTGAGGTTCTCAGAGCAGAGATTATAAAGAGTATGAGCTTCTGGGTTGTAACACCGTGTAGTTCAGTGTGTTTGCCATCTGCTTACTGATGGTTTCTTGCTTGGCTTACTCTTTGCCCCTGAAGACTGAGGTCATACATTACTCTAAAATATCAGCAGACTTCTACCAAATTACATAGCATTACAACCCAGAAAACTGTAATCCTCAATGAAATACAGTTATGCCACTTCAGAAAATAAAATCAGAAATGCTTGGACACATCTCTATTACAACTGTATATACACAAGAAAGAAATATGTAACTCACCCTCAATAGAAATGGAGTAGTGTATTACACCAGACCCAGAGTATACCCATGGACCCATGCCAGGACTCAAGGCACAAGAAATGGATACTGGACTAGAACCAGGACCTATATTATTGAAGGACAATGGTGGCCACTGACAGTTAACTGTGTAGTCAATATAGATGTGGTTCTTCCAGGGCAATATAAGGCCAACCTCCAGATGATTCTCCCGAATGTTAATGTTCTGAAACATATGGCATCTCCTGCTGAGTGATTCATCAAATTACTTTTTGTTTCACATAGTAAAATATCTTCTCAGTTACAACCAGTGTAGTGTGGTAGGTTAGGTACCAGTGCTTTGGAGGAACATACTATATATATAAGGTTAAAGTGAGTCAGATTGCAACTGATGTGAATGGAAGACATAGGACAGAGGGAGTGATGGCAAACCAGAGTCAGGGAGGGGTAAAAGAGACAAATCAAGTTCATAGCAACCACAGGCACTGAAAAGGACAACATCTCCAGGAAAGAAAGACTGAGGAGGACAGAACTACAAAACAACAGGAGGCCCTAAAAAGGACAATTATATTCTGTGACATGGAGAATGGAAGAGGCAGCCACTGCAGCAATGGCACAATAAACAGTGACACAACACATTAGCCCACACCGCACAACATAACCAATGGAAGTACTGCTGGAAACGGTGTTTTCTATGTGGTCTGTGCCAGTAGCTATGCTGTGCAACAACAGAAGAACTGTTGCAAACACAATTTTATGTTGGGTCAATTCCGAGGCTATATCATGCAGACCTAAGAGACAAGTGAGTCTTGTTGTGAGATACACACAGTCTCTGAGGACATGAGCCAGGTAGCATGGGAGCTGAGGGACCTAGGGCATTGGACGTGTTACCAGGTGACAAACAGTGAGGACACGGCAGATTGAGAAGACTCGTATGTGCTGTAGTGAACTGCAGAGTGTGTGAATTAGAGATGGCACTACAATACTTGTAGTTACAAGTTTTGAGAGTACAGTAAATCTTATTACCAATCCAAACCCCATCTATAGTCACTTTATCACATGCCAATTTGTACCCTTTAAAGAGCTATGGACATAGAAAATCTAATTTAAGCCTTCTTGCATCATTCCTCAAGGATTTAAATGATAGGCTTTGATGATTTGTTTAGGGACACAGCATCTTCCCTGGTAATGCTGTTGGAATGGATATCAATGAATCAAGAAATCTAGTTTAGAACAGAAACTATCCTGGTCACAAATAGATTTGGCTGGCTCTCAAGCCATCATGCAGAGAAGATTCTAGATCAGGGACTTTTATAGCAATGCTGGTTATACCTTCAGCTATGAAGGCAGGGAGATTCAAGCATATCAGGACTGCAAAAATCCTGCTGAGGAAAGTACCATTTCCTTTGGTGTGTAAAGGATGGTGTATCCCTAATGATACTGGGGCTTGTACACCATCCACAGTGAATGTAGGGCAGTTCACATTTGACCAGAAATTCCACTGAGACTATGGTCAAAGAGCACCACTGTAAAGTATGTTACTATCATCATCATCATCATCATCATCATCATCATCACCATCATAAGTCAGCCATAGGAGAAAAGAGCATTAATCTGAGCCATCATATCCTGATACCAGACAACAGTAACTAGGCAACAAGAAACCCAGATGCACAGGCCAATCATCTGAAGAAAAAAAAAATGCTACTATGCATCTTACTACCAACATAAACAGGGAATCCAATATCCCCCTAATCTGGTTGTGCAAGCCTCTCAATCACATCCTGAGAGAATGAAAGAAGGCTCTCCCATAGGACAAGCCTCAAGTTGGATGTCATATGCCCATGGCTCTTAGAACAGTCCTCTATTAATCCCTTTTTAAGGCCTGCTGCTTTTTTGTATCTCCTGTGCTGGAGGTGTTGCCTTTTCTAAGGCCTACATTTACCATGGGCCTGTTGTGAGTCTGTCTCCTCTCGCCCATCATTGACTCAGGCCACTCCTCTCCTCCACACTGTTTCTTTTCCTCATATCCTACATAACCTCACACTTTTTAAATTTAGCTCACTTCGCTACAGAAGATGGAGGCAGAAGCTACACTGGTGCAATAGACAGACTGCTAGCTAAGCAGCTCCATAAATATAGGCATAATCTCAGAGAGGGTCTTCTAGAAAAAAAAATATAAAACTGGCCTAATATGCCTATGAAGATCTTGGAGTAAGCTTGGTTGAAGCCAGGATTTTGTAAATTGAAAGTAACAGCACATATAAAAAAACACAGGTCAGTCAACCCAATTTGGAAATTTCCTCCAAATGAATTCTCCTCATCAGCAAGCATGATGGAAACTTACAGGGAAGGGTGGCAGGATTTTACAAGACTCTTTGTAGGTACATATAACGTCGTGTGTAGAGTTGTTTCTAGGAAACGGCTCAGGAAACACATTCCTGCAGCAACAGACATGCATGCAACAACAGAGGTACTGCTGGAAATGGTGTCTTCTACTTGGTCTGTCCAAAAGGGCTATAAGGAGAACACTTGAAGGAAGAATAGGCAGTTAGAAGGGAGTTGTGATTCAGACAGGACTTAAGCATGGAAGCAGAGTAACAGCTGCTGTTGGAGCCATTACCAGATGTCTAGTAAGACTGAGAACACTAGTCTATGTGCTCTAGTGATTTGTAAAGTGTGGAAATTAGTGGTGGTGCTATAATTATGTGATTACGAGATGTGTGTTAAAGCGGTCAATAAATGTAATACCCTATCCAAAACCCCGTCTACAGTCGCATACTACATGATATCAACATTTCCATCTTGGGGTTAAATTTTGTTCCATAGATGGTGCTAACAGTAAGTGGGTTGCATACAGCTTCATAATTTTGCTTTTCTCCTGCACTGGTGTGTCTGGTTTTCCTCTGCTGCATTTATTTGCCACTTAATTCTGTCTCACTTTTAGGTCTTCATAATATTTCCACAAATTTTAATGTAAATTTTCCTCCTGTCTCCCACTGACAAAATCTGATCTCAGGTGCATAATTTTTTAGTAGTTATACTGATTTTGGTGTCTAGTCACTGAAGTTAGGTCATTCTAACTGACCCACACTTTTACCTGGGAATGGAAACAGTTTCCAAAATGCTGTTTTTTATAGAACATCAGATGATGAATAAAGTTCAAACATCAGTAATCCCCTGTATGGTCCTCCAAAATGGTGGTAACAACTCATCAGGGTACAATGCATCATAACCTAGAAGACTGGAACATGAACCTTCACCTTCTAGGAAAACTTCAAAGATCATTTTACACATACATGCAAACACTGTGTCCATGCGCGCGCGCGCACACACACACACACACACACACACTAAACTTTGCAACCACTGATGCACAAAAGCACAGATATACATATAAAATTTATGTTACACTGTAGCAGACTAGCATAGTCAAAAGCTTATGTACTTATTCCCATCTACAATATAGTGTCCTAAAAGTCATGGTGGGGTTTCAAAATATTATATGTATTAAATGTTATGTGGTACATATAGTATTAAACATGAATTAAATTAAAAAAAAACAAAAGAACAACTCAAATAGTTTATCCATGTGTTTATCAAAGTACAGGGCTACTATTACTGATTCATTCGTTTTTAAAACGCTATACTTTGCAAAGCAATATACGTACAAATATGATGGATATATAAAAAGAACCATAAACTCACCAGTTTTCTTCACACTCTACAAATGTTCTGTGTGTGCCACCTGTCTCACATGACACATGTCCAGGCGGTAGTCGAGCTCGTTCCACACATTTTGTAGCATCATCCTGTCAATGGTCATCACTGCAGCATCGATGCATTCCCTCAGCTCTACTAATGTTCTTGGCAGTGGGGGTACATAAACATGATCCTTAATGTACCCCCAAACAAAGAAGTCACAAGGTGTTAGATCAGGTGATCTGGGGGGCCAAGTGAACAGAGCTACGTCATCCTCACCAACACGCCCAATCCAGCGTGTCGTTAAACTGCCGATACCACTGCAAAATGCTTTGTTTACATGGCGGTTCTTTTCCGTACTCTCTTTTGAATGCGCGTTGCACTGCTATAACAGACGAACATCTCACATATTCCAACAAACAAAAACTCTTTTCTTGCTTTGTCGCAATTTTGTAAAGGCACTGAATTCATGCTGCCAACTGGTGCATACAATACAAACTTGGCGAATTTATGGTTCTTTTTATATATGAATCATATTTGTATGTGTAATACTTTGGAAAATATAGCGTTTTAAAAACGAATGAATCATTTATAGTAGCCCTGTACTATGTGGGCTCCATTGGTGGCACTGCAAATATCTAAGCAGTATTCCTTTTCCTGCCACACTTGACCAAGACATCAGGAGTGACAGAGGCAGCAGCTTCCCTGATTCGCTTCAGATACACCCAGAAATAAAAATCCATGGTGTGTCAGGACTGGAGAGCATTGGGGCCCATTGCTTCCATCTGTCCCTCCCAATCCAGCTCTGTGTAAAGGTGTCATTAAGAAATTCCGTAACAATGTTGGCATAGTGTGCAGGAGCATCGTCTTGCTGAAAGTAAAATGTATATGTTTTTTTAAAACTCTATGAACAATTTTTTTTAAAGCCCTACGTAATTCTTGAGCACACTTATGCCCTGATTTCTTCAGACCGCGAATAAAACCGTTTTGAATGTTTTCCACTGTCTTGTCACTAATGGATGGTCTTCCAGAATGCTGTTTTTCCAGTAGGCTTCCTGCCTCTTTCAGCTGTCGATCCCAACAATGAATACTACTTTCATGTGGTGGTTCTTCGTTATAAACACGATGGTATTCACGTCATGCTTGAGTCACAGGCTCAAATTTTGCAAGCCATAAAACACACTACACTTTCCTTTAAACCATCACCATCATGTGTAAATCACTCTATGAGTGAGTGTCACATTGGATACACTGTGCGCACAACTGCTTGCTGTCCCTCCATCCCCCACCACTATCCCCAGTAATGCCTGTTTCATGTGTTTGTCATGTTTCATTCCAACAATCTAATCATTTGAAACCCCACCATGACTCAGTGAAGAACTGTGAAAACACCCTGTTCTATTTGCACTTCAGATTCATGATAATAAAACTTGCAAACATCAATATCTTAGGTGGGAATTCTTTATATGAACATATCAAACCTTTTACAGCACACAATTTCCTTTCCTGTTTCTCTATTCATAGGATAAGGTAATGCTACTGTATCAAACACTAAGACTGTGCTAGTGAGGATGTTTCACAAATGTTGCCATCAGTACCTTGATGGTATATCCTTCCCGTAATCGACAACACAGAACACTGAGCAATGTTGTTGCCAAATTATCTTCTTCTTGCTTCTTTCTAAGTAGGTGTGGCTCATGACTGCCATAAAAACATGCATTGCTGAGAAAGAATGAGTAGTGTTAGAGACAGCATCACATATTCACTTTTACTACATAATATATCATATGTAAAGAATCTTGCTGCTACTGTTGTTGTTGTTGTTTACTGCTGTAATAACTTTTTTCCCCTAGTTTCTGATGAAACTGGACAGAGAACATGAACAAATGATGTTACTTCGCTTTACCCTGCCAATCTTCATTGCGCCAAATTCTCCATCATCATCAGCACCACCCTGGGCAGGTGCAATAGGCCAATCAGTGGCCGACGTGCCGAGTGGACCCAACTGGACTCCAGCCCCCCCCTTATGAGAATTAAAAAAAATGTACAAAGACAAGCATACATTTCTGTGCTTTTTTTTTTTTTTTTGCTGGGAATGTGCCAAACAGAAAGTGCAAATTTCACAGTGAGCTTCAAACAAAATTTCCTTGCTTTAAAGTGGGAAGAAATGAAAATGAAACTTTCATGTCTGTAGCCAGTAAAGGCAAATATGACTTGAAAGCACATATCCACATTCCCAACCACAAGAAAAAATTTAGAGCTGTCAGAATAAATTTAAATGATACCCTTTCATTTATTGATGTTAAGAGTCAACCACAAAACAGATGAAAGACTGAAATGTGATTAGTGGATGACGTCAAAAGCTTTGACCAGTTCTGCAAAGTGTTCAGAATTATGACGTTTTAAAAACTGCATCAGTTAGTGACCAGTCCAGAGGAGCTATAATGCAGACTTGCCTTCAAAATTACTTAAATTAGCATACCTTCTATTTTGAGCTCACAGTCACAATGCCAATGTTGAAAGAATATTTTCTTTGAGAAATGCACAGTAGAGAGATCTATGAAACAGATCCATCACTTTAGCTATAAAATATGTTCTCTTGTAGCAATATAATTTACACAATTATTCGTACCTTCAGTTCCACAAATATGTCCTAGAACAGTCAACTCTGCTTCCAGATATGAAACCTGTATTGTCCCTATAGTGATGTCCTCATTACAAACCATAATCATTCTACCATGGTTTCATTGTATACTTAATGTAGTTGATAGAATAGCTTACCTGACATGCCACTCGCCTGCCTGGGCAGGGAAAGGAGGATGCATGGCTGATGAGACAGGAGGAGAATAATTTAGCATCAGTGACACCGACTCACAGTTAACTTTCTGGAATCTCCATGTTAGAATTTTCTCATGATAAATATTCATGGCTCCTTCTGAATCTGAGTCCTGCAAATAATAATCAAAACATTTCATATGAATTATGCAGGAAACAACAATGCTCACATCACGCAATGCCTGTGCTCACACTGCTATCATCTGCCACTGTCTTCATCCCCCCTCCCCATACATACTAATTTCACAGTGAGAAATCCTTCTCATTCCATATTCAAAAAATAAAACAAATTTTGTTTATTAACACCTTACTAACTAAACTATTTCTGGCATGAAGCTTGACAATAGTAAGTCCAAAAACCCAATATATCAGTGTGTTATACACCATCGTCAGAATCCTATAGTAACTACTTCTATACAGATTGTGTCTGATGAATGACTGATCAGTAAGGGATAATGGCATTCAGGTTCTCTGTGCATGAACATGTGAAGTTCTCTCTTCTGAAGCTTCAAAAAAGAAGTTTCCCAAACTGACCATATGAATAAAAATCCAAGATGCTGTTAGGGAAATTAGGCAGACATTGTTTTGGCACATAACTGTTATGTTGTATATGAAGGCTGTTGATCGTAACCATCGATCACCTACAAAAACTTCACAAAACCACATCATACTGAACGTCAACAAACTTCATATAAACAAACCTGCTTAATGCCAAACTGAGACACCATACTCACAGGCACAATCCACACTACAATTAAATAACGGACTACTAGAAACAAATATGAAAGTATGAATTAAGAAACCAGAACACATTAGAAAATAAGTAAAAATGTTCTCTTCACAGTACTGTACAACTTACTATCTCTGGGATCATGTTCAGATATGCTCCACACGTTGCATCTGCCACAAACTGCATAAGATCCACATATGGGACAAGACCAGAGCAACAATGTGGATGGAAGGGAGATCCCACATGAAGAAAGGAACAGGACACCGTGCCACTACGAAGTTGTGCTAACACTGAGTCAAGCACATTTACATCTGGGCTAGCTACTACACCATCTGTCACAACTATCAGACCTGCAAAGAAACAAGACAACAAACTTACAAACAAAAGACTGCACTGAGACACAATGATCAATTACACTTCTTCAAATTGTAATTTAAATATTATACTAATAAAAATAGAAAACTGGCTATAGTTTTCAGTTTTTTAGTTATTTCTCAGTTTTAGATGAGAATCTGGAAAAATTCTGTTAAGATGAGAATAAGAATTTCTCATACACCCCAATCTTTTCACTGTAATAATTTATAACATTAGCCATTTCTTTTTTCAGTGTGCTACCATACTTACCTGAACAGAAGTTGATTCTAAATGCAAAATGATCCAACTAGGAAACGTGTCTGCACAATTGGTGGCTTTTCAAGAAGGGCTCAGCTCCATGAGTGAGTGATAGCAGTAATACTACACAGTGATTCTTTAATGCATAAGAGATTGTGATCAATGAAACAGCAGAGTATATTCAGTCCTTCCAAATGTAAGTCTCCCAGGTAAACACACAATGGCATTCATAAATACAAATGCTTCTGACAGTACTAAATATTGAAAGGGATAAGTATAACTGGTAAGGATCACGGGTGCAAGTCATCATGGCCAATTCTGAAGTACTCTCTTGGAATTCCCCTAAAATACTCAAGAACATCCCACAAATATCACAGTCTAGACATCTGCGTTTCAGTTGAAACTTGAACTGTAGTAAGTGCTAGGCATGCTGGTGAAGAGCTAACCTACTCAATTACGTTTTGAAGAACAAATGAACAATTAAGACTTTTTAATAGTTCTTATTTATACGTATTAAAACTAATTAAAAGACTTTTTTATCCCCAACCTGACAAAAAAACTGATGGTACATTACCACTCATTAGTTAGCATTATATTGTTAAAATAATCCAACTCAATCAGAATAAATTTGATTTTACACTCACTTTTACAGCTGCTCTCAGGTAAAAGGCGCAAGGCAAGCATGCCATATCGAAGCATGTTCACAAATCCTGCATCAGGTGCCACCATCGGTACTCGAGCTGCTGTTGGTGGTAACATCTCTCCATCACTGCTTTCTTCAAAGAGTCCACCCACTAATTTTTCAGATTCAGCCTGAAATGAGCACTTGTCTATCATTTCTCTACATCTCAACATCTGCATTCAACAAAACAGCCATGACTACAATCAGTGTTACATTTCAATATTCAACCAAATCAACTCAACCAAACATGAGTGACATTTATTACAATTTAAAACAAGGCCATGTAGTAATTACCAATGCCTCACTGATATTTGGTTACTAACTCAATGACTGGAGGCATTTCTGCAGACAGATTTTTCTGTTAGCTTCTCTGGAAGCAGATGTCTCTGAATTAAGAAACATTTAATAAATGTTAGATTTTATAAATGAATACAAATATGCAACACTGAATACATTAGAGAATCTGTTTTATTTTGAAAAGAACGGGTCTTCTTAGACTACTGGATCTGAGCTTCTTAACTGGGCTCTTTTGTCCAATTTGATATTTATTACACAGTGCTGAAATTATATGCATTAAACAGGATGCTAGCAAAGTTTCATAAAATATGAAACTCATGTTTCTTTTAAATGTATATAAGTTACTAGCCTAAGACCCTGCTCCTTGCCTAGGTGGTTTTTAGAGGAAAAATAATACTGAAACAATGAAACTGTTCACTTCTCACACAATGCATCTTCAACAATACGAGTATATGCTTCTAATTATATGTACATTATATTCATCTTCCTCATATACCTTTAATGAAATTGACTACACTGTGATTGATACCATCATTGCATCCTAGTAACTGCATGACAACATGGTGATAAGACTTGTAAATGCCAAACACACCACTTCATATACTTACTTACTTACTTACTTACTCATGGAGCTGAGCCCTTCTTGAGGAGCTGCCAATTCTGCAGCTACTCTAGAATTGCCCAGCATTTTATGGAACCCGAAGGTTCATCACCGTGTTCACAAGAGCCCTCCACTGGTCCCTATCCTGAGCCAGATCTATCCAATCCATACCAACCCTTCCTATCTCTCTAAGATCCATTCTAATATTGTCCACCCACCTATGCCTTGGTCTTCCCTGTGGTCTCCTTCCTTCTGGCTTTCCCACCAATATCCTATACACATTCGTCTCCCCCATTCGTGCTACATGACCCGCCCACCTCATCCTCCTCGACTTTATCACTTCATATACTAATCCACCTAATCCCTCAGTGATGAATTAATGGTGGCTTTAGATTGCTATACACATTATACTGCACACCATTTCCTAATAAATGAAGGACCATGAGGGAAGAAGGAAATGAGGCACTGGAAGAATTTACATTACAGATTACCATATTTGCTTAATATTTCCTGCACAGAACATTACAAGAGTATTAAAATTTGTTATCTAAAAATATTATATTTTAGTGTCATGTTGTGTCTTATTTTTGTATTGGTTTCTGTAAAGACAACTTTTTGTATAGGTACACTATACGTTATATGTTTACCACATGTTTAAGCCTTTTGGACATCATCAGGTGTCATACAATGTGTTAGGATAATTGCTCCTTCTCTATACTGATCAATATTTGAATGTGATATTTTGTATTATGGGGTTTTTTCACTGAGGTGTACATGCCTTTCATTAAAATACTGTGATATGATGCCTGAAAGCTGGGATAGTGCAGCCAGAGAAGCACCACAGAGACATTAATTACTAGGCAATGTAAGTGTCTTAGTATGAACAAAAATATATTAACGAAGTTCTGATGGGACCCAAAAGCAAGAATGACTGTGTTGGCAAAGCGACTAGCAATTTAGTTACTATAGGATTCTGATGATGGTGTATAACACACTGATATATTGGGTTTTTGGACTTTATCCATCGTCCTGGTTTTTAAGATCTTTATCCTAAAAACCAGGACGATGGATAAAGTCCAAAAACCCAATATATCAGTAGTAGCAATTTACCCAACCTGCAAAGACTAGAATGTGCTGTAGCAATTTATATACTGTGTAGAATAGTGAAATTGTTGTGATTATTTGTAGTTATGAGTAGTAAGCATACACCCAATTCAATTATCAATCCAAACCTTGTGCACAGTCATTAACATGTTACAACTGATGTCAGGCATGGAATTGGGCTGAACTGTTGAATCAAACTGGATGTTCAAAATGGAACCGTTGCTGCAATGGATTAGAGAGGACTTGAATCACTTAAGGCATAACTTCACGATGCCCAAGAACACACGATAATCATCATAAATGCCAATCAAGAAAATAAAGAGGCCAACAGAAAAAAAGCCAGGCTGGACAATGCCATAAATGCCACCCAAGAGAGGAAGCAAGCCAAGATGAAGGCTAACCAAAAGAGATGAAGGCCACAATAAAGGTTGGCCAGGATGAAATGATAACAGGTTAGGAACAAATGACAGTCAAAATTATGACTGGATAACAAAAAGTGAAAGCCACAATGAAGGCTGGCCAAGAAAAGATGGAGACCATGACAAACTCCAACTGGCCAAAGTCTGAAGAGACCATCAATAATCAGGTGCAGGGTGTCCTAGCATCTGCTAACCAAAGGACCCAGAGTATCTTCAAGGAACACAGTAATGAGATAAAAAAAGACCTTTGACGAGAATTCAGTGTGGAGATCCAATAGATATGACTCCACATATGAGAGGTAAAGGTACTGTAAATGCCATGTAGTAAGGGTTCAATGAAGAATTGGCAAAACTTGATGCCCAACCTGGGCATGGATGTTGCAGGAACGTATCAGCTGGTGCAGACAGGACATAGCCATAATACATCCATATCCTGAGTGCTGCTTCATCTCTAATTGAAAGCTGTGGTGAAGCACAATAACTAGAGAGACTGGCAGAAAGCCACATACCTACTCCCCATCCTGCAACTGCAGGCCACTGATGTCCTGCATACCATCCCCACAAAAGTAAGGTACAAAGGCATTATGGAGGGGCTCAAAGGCCATTACGGAAGCCACCAACTGGCTATAACATACTGTTCTTAGCTGAAAACAAGGATCCAGCTGATCAGTGAGTATCTGAAAGAGTTTGCCACTGTCATCAAAGCAGCTGGCCCACCATGCTCTTCTTGGGGTAGCCCAGTACTACATTTGAAGCAGCCTGTGCTTTCATTGACACAGCAAATAGAACAAGAGATGAAACTGCAAGTACTCATGGGAGGTGACAGAACACTAACTACGGCCCTTAATCAGGCCCTGCAGATTGAAGAGCAGTAGTCAGAACATTCATTAAGCTCTGACAAGTAAATACCAGAACAAACAAGAGGGCCAAGCCCAACCTAACCAAGTGCTGTGGGGAATGGCAACTTGCGTGCTGATGGTGCAGGGGCACCAGTCACTTCTGAAAGAACTGACCACAGGAATCTGATAAAGATGATGACTGAGACTCAGGAAATAAACAGGAGAAAGTAGGAAGATCGGACAACCGCTCTGCTCCTTCACTTCACACTCAACATGTTAGCCAAGATGAATAATGACAGCCTGAACACAAAGGGCCAGACAGGTGACAAAACCTTGCCTTGTCACCACTGACACTAGGGCATCTGTGACTACTGCCAGACCCAACATTGCTGCAGGATTGCCTAAAAGGAACCTGAGTATACCTTACATTCTTACAATGGCATCAGGAAAGATCCTTCCCATGCTGAAGGGGGCATTAGTGGAGATGACCCTAGGACAGAGCCCCATACACAATTGGATGTTCATCCTTGTACTGGATGTCCTGTGCACCAATGATGGGTTCATGCATTTCAGGACAAACTTGCTCTGGCTGAAAGAAGAAGAGATAATGCACTAAGGTGATACTGGCACAACGAAGAGAATGGCGACAGCATGGGTGGAAAGCCCCTGGGTGCAGCAAGTGGTTTCATAGAACACAGTCTGGAGACCCACATCCCTGAAGGACTCTACATAGTCAGGACGCTTGTCTGGACTCAGCAGGAGGTACCCGTCAGTCCTGAATGTTAGCCTCCAACACCAGGTACTAACAAGAGATCACCAATGTAACACTGTCAACCAGTCACATTCATGACCCCACCTGACACAGCAGAACCACAAATTGAAGAGACAGCAGGACTTTGTGAATAGCACGGGACATGATTACCACCGCCAGATTCAACTTGAGCACCACACAAGCCTGAGAAATGAAGACCCAATTAGCAATTACAGAAACATTTCAGGAACTTTTTGAACACACCTTGTACATCATATGGACACCACAGCACCTGTGTCCAACAAGCTGCAGATCTAGATCTACCAAACAACCCTAGTCTATACTATCATTCTGTGGACCCCTCAAAAATTCTGTAAGTAGCCAGCAACCATGGACTGAAGGAGGCAGTCGACCCAGCTGCAAGTATCTGTATCTGAAGTCATACAAAATCTGAATCAAGTGTGTTAAGATGTGGAGGAACATTGCTGAAAATTGATCTACTTGTTAGTTTTGTATCATTGTCTGTTAATTAATAAATGCACCATGAATACTTTTTAATATAACTTCATATACTCATACTGAAGACAAATGTTGACTACAGATTACCAAGTTTAATTCAGCACCTTCTTCAGCTTAGATCCATATTTTGTGTACCAAAGAAGTGATGTAACAACACTGAGATGCCCAAAAATACTCTTGAAGGTTTCACCCTTCTAAACAGGAATCTCACAGAATTACTCACCCTAAGAGCTTCCAACTGATCATACGCAATGCCTGCAACCTCAGCCACCGTATTCTCTAGGCTCTCTAACTGCTCTTGGACTGATTTCAGAAAAGCTCCTTTATTAGCTTGTGTGACACACCATCCTTGCACCAAAACCTAGAAAACATAACCTCAGGTATTTAGTCTGCAACAATTATATACTATTCTGTGTGCATCATTCAAGCATAATTATGTACAGTGGAACCTCGCTTAACGAGTAAGTTGCATAAAGAGCAAAACAAATTGTAAAAAAATGACTCGCTTAACGAGCAACATTTCACATAATGAGTGACGAGAGGGGTGCTACATCAGTCCGTGTTTAGCACTCCTTCGGCTAGCATCTTAGAGTCGTTTGTGATCACACATTTTTCCAAACTTGTGTTCAGACACAGTATTTGTGATTTTTTTTGTGTGCAAAGTTTAATAACCCTTGCAAAAATGTCCCCGAAGAAAAAGCCGCAAAACAACAGCCATAAGAGAATAAAAATAACAGTAGAAATGAAACGTAAAATCACTGAAAAGCGAGAACGAGGTGTGAGCATGGCTGATCTAGCATGCACATACAATTGTTCTACATCAATGATTTGCATGATTTGGAGTTGCATTGTGTTTCACAGCAAGAAGTTGTGGAGGAGAGTTTGTCAGAGGAGGAGGAGGAGGTAACAGCAAAGCAACAATCTTCTGGTGCAATAAGAGAAATGCTGAAAGCATGGGAAACTGTTGCATCATACATTGAGAAGCATCAGCCTAATAAGGCAGTGGCTATGTGCGCTACAAATTTATTTAATGATAATGCTGTCACATTTTCACCAAATTTTGAAGCGTTGGCAGAAACAAATGTCTCTAGACAGTTTTCTAGTAAAAAAAGAATTAGATATGTATCATAAATAATAAACTAATTACTTTGATTTTCTTTTGTTTTCTGCAAATGGAATTTGCATTCCAGGTTGGTTCATTCCACACAGAAGAAAAGATGAAGATGATTCACGCTCCTTAACGATGTATATATAATTTTCTTTGAATAAACGTTATACATAAAATTTTTTGAGTATTTTTTTTCAGCATGGAACGCATTATCATATTTTACATTAATTTATATGGGAAAAATTGTTTCGCTTAACGAGTGTTTCGCATTACGAGTAAGATTCTGAAATGAATTATGCTCGTTGAGCAAGGTTCCACTGTAATAGTATGTTTGAATATCAGAAAAACACAAATTATTTATGAATCTTGTAATAAAAATCAGCTGTTTGGGATACTTGCATCAACAAAGTTTACAGTCCTCCCAGTGTCTAAGATACAGTCTTGATGTATACAAGGGTTGGACAAAATAATGGAAACACTACAGATACTGTAGACCACCTTTTGCCTTCAATACAGCAGCAATCCTCTTGGAATGGACTTGTACAAAATCTGAACAGTCTCTAGTGGAATTTTATACCATTCTTCTTGAAGAACATCTTCAAATTGCTTCAGAGATGTTGGAAGTATCAACCTGTTCTTCACTCTAAATCTCCAAAACTTACTACAGTGGTTCAATGATGTTCAAATCTGGTGATTCAGCTGGCCAGGGAAGATGCTGAAGTTCACCTTCATGCTCTTCAAACTATAACTGAACGGTTCCAACTGTGTGAATGGGGGCACTGTTATCGAGGAAAACTTCATCACTGTTTGGAAATAATGTCTGGATCATGGGATGCACCTGATCACCCAACCTGCCCACGTACTCCCTTGCAGTAATTCAAACATGAAGGGTAATAATGAGAACAATATAATACTGTACTATGATATTGTTACCCAAACCCTCACAGAACCTCCCTCTTGTTTCACTGTTGGAACTAGGCATTCCAGATCGCAGGAATCCTTGAGTGGTCTCTAAACCTAAACTCTTCCTGAAGTAGGGAACAGCATGAAGGATGACTCATCACACCATATCATGTGCACATTTCCAGTTGCTGATGTCCAGGTTTTATGGTCATGACACCACTGTTTATGCAGCTCAGCATTACTTTCAGCAATCACAGGTTTAGCAATAGCAGTCCTACCACTGATGCTGGATTTGTGAAGTTCACACTGGACAGTTTTTGTGGAAACAGTCATCAATATGATTAGTCAGTTCTGCTGTCACCCATTCTGCAGTAGTTGTAATTGTAATTGTAATTTGTTTCGAGTTCCAAATGATCCAATAGAACTGGTTAAAAACCACAGGATATAGAACATGTCAAATATTAATTAAAATATGTCAAGATAATCAGAAGAACATAAAAGTACAATACAATCATAAGTACAGTTCGGGCATTTTAGACCAATTAGATGTGATATTAGAAGAAGTTATACTATCTTACAAGCTAACAGGCTGGTATCTATCCTTAAGATATTGTAAATATAATTTCTTGGATACTCCAGTGTGTTTGCCTGATGATGGACACTAGTGGCCGAAACATGTAGCAGAACTATATCTGGGCATTGTCCTTGAAGTTCTTTTATTGTTGTGTTGTGATGGTCAAATAAATAAGTTGTATAGCAATATACTTTGTTGCTCTACACAGTGAAGTAGAGTAACAGAAACAAATTTGGAACGCAGACAACGAAGATTTAGAATCTGCACTTTTGAGTGATATTATGAAAAAAGATTGACTGTCACAGTGGTTGACAGACCAATGATCAAGCCTAAAGCCAATCATTTCACAGGATGCTTAAAAGACCAAGAACTTTAAATAAAAGGGCAGCCTTGCAATTTCAAAGAAAATAACAGACATTAATATACAGAAAATGAATCTTCTGCATCTAGAACCAGCTCATAATGTAGTCTCTTGGCTGAAGAAATTGGCTTAAAGTACAAGAAGTTACATGAGCACAAGAAAATATTTATAATTTCACAGTTCAGATAACACTAAAGTCATATAGAATGGTGACATATTTTTTCCTTATCTGCATGAATACCACTTTAAACAAGACAGAAAATTTAAGGACAGCATAATAAATTTGGCATATTTGTGGCTTTTTGTTAAATTATTTTTGAAACTTACATGACTCAAAGAACACATGTACTGCTTATAAAAATGTGATCTTTTTCTATCCACTAGTTTTTCTGGCCATTTTTCCCTTAAAAAAGTAATCGGTTACATTCAAAACATAAGCACGAAGGTCTTCAGGTGAAGTCTGTGTTACTGTTGTCCAATTTTGACCATATAAGAAGGCGTCACTAAATTTTAATAAAACCTTCCAACATCAGATTTCATAAAAGCCAATTGGCAGTTCCCAAGCTGTTCATGCGACTAGAGTGACACAGCGAAGCTACTAGCCACACTATTGTACCTACCCATTGCAAAAGCACCACAAAGAATAAATACTGTTGTATCTACACTTCTGTTTTTAAACATTAGTGCCATATTGTGATGCATGTGATTAGAATCAGAAGACAAAGCATTTTCAGCTGTTAGAAATACCAACTGTAACTGACATTTTAGCAGATTTTCTTTATATCAAGGCTGTATTTGCTACTGAACTTATTTATAACTGTTACTGAAATTTCATGGGGAGATTATGAACTTACCTGTAATGGGCACTATACCAATTATTTCATGATTCTGAGTTAACTGAAAATTGTACATATATAATCACTGAATGCCTCATCCTCGTCTCTTGGAAATAACAAATATGTCAAACATCAACACAAAGCAATGATACCTGTTGTGCAGGAGTTTTGAAGAATGGTGTATGAGCTATCACAGTAACATGAATCTCTGGTTCAAAAACCATGTTTGACCCGGGGATACTAAACTGAAACAAATATCTTAATATAAGTTATGTTCTATAACTATTACAAACTAGAAAGAAAAGGATCATACAGTAACTGCTGGTACAAAGCAGGTAAAAATTAAATTTTCAGTTTTATGAACAATATTTCAGTATCCATTCAACACCCTGCTATAAATGTTTGTTAATCCACTCTACTGCAAATAGCAACTGTGAAACCATTTTAATCACAAACTTTACATGATGAGGTTTACTAACAACCATCTAAGGCATTCCAAAAATAATTTCAGCCTCTTAGCATAAAAAGTGTGGTTAACATAATCTGTATTTCACTATGTATCATTTTCTTCTGCATCAGTGGAAGTGCTAATAGAAACAAATAAATTTAGTCAATTTAACCAACTGATGCTGAGTGTCACATATACAGGGTGTCCCAGGAGGAATGTGCCAAACTTCGGGAGGGTGTTCCTTATGTTAAAGTATGCCGATATAACCCAAAACACCTATGTCCAAAGTTGAACGGTTACGGAGATAATGGCCCGAGAAAAGTGTGGTCTTCT